GCGCCCCCCCTCCTCCGCCGGCACGGTGCAGGACCCGGGGGAGGGCGCGGCGGCCTTCTTCCTGGTGGCCACGCTGCCTGCGGGCATGTACGCAGTGGCGGAGGCGGCGGACCTGGCGCACTGGGTGCACGCCTGGAGCCTGCTGCTCCTGGCCTCGCTCCCGCTCCTGGCGGTGGCCTGCATGCCGCGCGGCCTCTGGTGGCTGGGCGCCGGCGAGCGCGTACGCCGCCTGCGCGCCGGGCTGCTCCTCGCCTCACTGGCGGCGGCGCTGGCGGGGCTGGAGGCGCGCGTGGTCTTCCGCTCCTACGCGCAGTACCTGCGCCTGCCCCCGCCCTGGAGCTACCTGGCGGTGACGGTCGCGGTGTACGGCGCCGCCGCCCTGCTCCTGCTCCACGCGGTGGGGGCGCTGGAGCCTGAGGTGGAGCGCGCGATGGCGGGGCCAGTGCTGGTGGTGGGCGCGGCGGTCGGCGCGCTGGCGCTGGGCCTGCCGCTCTGGGTCATGCCCGCGCCGCTGGCTGCGGCGGCGGGGCTGGCAGGGTGGGCCGAGACGCGGCGGGCGGGCGACTACGGGGTGTTCGTCCTGGGCACGCTCCTGGCCGCGGCCTGGTTCCTGCACCACCACTTCTGGTTCCTGGAGGTTCGAGTGGCAGGGTACGCGCTGCGCACCCTGTGCCTGGCCCTGGGCGCCGGCCTGGCCCTGGCCCTGCTCCTCGCTGGCGGCCTGCACGCGCCGGGGGCGGGGCGGCGCGCCGGCTGGCTCCGCGTCGGCCTGGTCGCGCAAGCCGCGCTGGTGGCGGCGGCCGAGGCGGCGCTGACCGCCGGCCTCCCCGGCGGCGCGGCGCGCCCCGGCCGCCCCCTCTACCCGCCCGCGCTGGTCGCGGCCACCACCGCCGCGGGCCTGGCGCTGACCGCGCGCCTGGCGCATGCGCCGTGGCAGCGCGCGCCCGCCACCTGGCTCATGGCCTGCCTGTACGCGTCCAAGGCCGCGCTCCTGGTCCTGCCCCGCGCCCGCCTGCTGGGGCCGGTGCCTAGGCCTGGCCCTGGCCGCAACACCGCCGCTCCTCCTGTTCGAGGGGGGGCCCGGCGCAACGCTCGGCCCCCGCCCGGGGTCACGGCCCTGCTGGCGGCGGGGTGCGTCGCGGCGGTGGCGCTGGCGCGGTTCGCCGTGTTTGACGTGCTGCGCGCGCTGGGCCGCCGCCGACCAGGCGAGGCGGCGCTGTTGGGCGCCCTGCTTCTGCTCCTCTGCGCCTGCCTGGCGCCCCTCGTCGCGCGCTGGCACGCCGCCGAGCCGGCGCCGCGCCGCGCGCTGGCCCTGCTCGCCGGCCTCGGCGTCCTGCTCCTGGCCCTGCGCCCGCCGCTGCCCCTGGCCGGCGGTGCGGCCTGCCCGCCCGGCCTGCCCCTGGGCCTCTGCCCCCGGCTCTGGGACGGCGGCCACGTCCCCGCGCACGAGGCCGACGCGGAGGGAGTGTACGGCTCGGGCCTGCGCCGCGCCAGCCACGCCCCGCTCTGGCTCCTCCTGGCCGGCGCCTGGCTGGGCCTGGCCGCGGCAACCGCCCCGGGCGCGGGGCGCGGCGCGCGCGTGCACGGCGGCGAGGCCGCCGCCGCCGCGCTTGCCCTCGGTGTCTATGTGGCGGCGGAGCACGCGCCCAGCGCGCCCCTGCTCCAGGCGATCATCGTGCTGTCCTTCCTGGCCCTGGCCGGCGTGATGGTGGCGCTGAGCGCGCCGCCCCGAGCCGCGCCGGCTGGGGCGTTTCTGGCGGGCGACGAGAGCAGCGGCGCCCCCACGGCCTGGCCCGCTGCGCCGCTCCTGGCCGCGCTCTGGTCGCTGGGCTTCCCCCTGGCCCTGCTGGCGGCCGTCGCTGCAGGGCAGCGCCCCGTGCCGGAGCGCATGGCCGCCGCCGCCGCGCGCCTCTTCCCCGACTCGGCCCGCGACGCGGCAGCGGAGCGCGCGATGGCGCTCCAGGCCGCCGTGCTCGCCGCCTGGGCCGCGCAGGCGGCGGTGCTGGCGCTGGCGCTGAAGCTGCGAGTGGAGCGCACGCGCGGTGGGGGGGTCCCGGCGCCGCGCGGCGCGGGCGCGTTGGACAACGGCCGCGCCGGTGGCGCCGGGCGTCTCTTCGCCGCCGCTGACGCGCGCCTGGCCGCGGCGGGGCTGGCCTGGGCGCCGCCGGCCTGCAACGCGGCGGCCCTGCTCTGCGTGGGCTGCGCCGGCGCGCTGGGCGCGCTGGGCTTCGCGCCCGCCGGCGGTGCCGCGGCACTCGCGCCCGCGCTGCTCCTGCTGACTCGCGACGCGCTGACCGCGCCGTGGCTCACGCCCGCGCGGCGGTACCTGCCGCCGGCCGCGCTGCTGGCGCTGACGCTCAACGGCGCCGCCATGCTGGCGCACGCGCAGGGCGCGCGCGGTTGGGGCGACGCCGTGCGCGCAGCGCGCGACCTGGCGGGCGGCGCGGCCCTGCTCGCGCCCCAGGCCTGGGCGCTGGCAGGGCTGGGCAGCGAGAAAGCGCAGCCGCTGGGCAGAGCCGCGCTCGCTGCCCTGCTGGGCCTGTGCCTGGGAGGGGGCCTGCTGGCACGGTCAGGGGAGCTGAAGGCCCTGGGGGCGGGGACGGCGGTGGTCCTGGGCCTGCAGGCGGCAGAGGCAAGCAGGGCGCGGGCCGCGCTGCATGCTGCGATCTGAGGGGTGAGGTCCGGCTGTCCTGTGGGGCGGAACGTGGCCATTGCTCACAGCATGCGCGCTCTGTGTCCCCTTGCTCTGCCCGCTGAAGCTTTTACATCCATGGGTGTTGCAAAGCAAGGGTCACACAAGCCCGGACTGAGGATGCCAGAAGGAGAGATTCGATCTATGGCGGGAAGTGGTGACCCCGACACCTCTTCGACGTACGGTACCGGGCAGGGGGATGCCCGACATGAGTCTTAGAAAACAAAGAGCAATAAGTTGCAATTATTTGTCGGGATTCCCCACCATTCGACTGGCCATCGGGGCGGACCACCGCACCCCATGGAGATGGGGGGTAGAGATAGATTTTGCCCCCACGTGACTGCTTTATCTCATGTCGGACAGGCACGCAGCCCCACCCCGGCGTGCAAACCAAGCAATACTGCACAAAGTCTCGATGCAGAGATGCTAGGCGGCTCATGCGGACGCTGGGGCAGCTTCCTTTGCAAGAGATCTGTGCTGGGAGCTTCCGCATGGAGGGATCGAACGCGTACCCTTGTGGTCACACTGAGATCCTCGGCATGTCCAAGCACCAAGCGTATGTGAACCTGGCCCGCGCAGGAAGCTGATGCACCTCTCCCTCCCAGCCCGCTGTACTCGTCGCGGATAAAAGTCATCGCGACAAGCTTTTGGAATATTTATGCCCGGCCTCCCGCTGTTTTAGGGCTGCTCGGCATATTTTTTCTCTGTCCGCTTTTGTGGTGGGCGCTCCCCACAGCTCATACTACGCCGTGGCGTCTGAGCAGAGGGCAAGCATGGGCCAACGCCTCGCAGGCCTCGTCTGCCTGATTTCCTTGCTCGGGTGTGCCTTCGCTCAGAACTTCACCGGCGCGCCGCAGACATGGACTTGCCGCATGGCGGAGGAGGCCACACATGGCTCCTGCGGGCTGCCATATGAGCTGGTGAGTCGTGAGCTCGTGCCATAGAGTTCCAGGCCACCATGCACACGATATGGACCTGTAATGTGGAATACATTCCGGGCATCCGCTGTCCGTCGCAAGTGCTGCTTCCTGACCCGGCAAACGACGATGCGTGTGCTCGACCCCCCCCCCCCCCCTCGTCCTGATGAGGAAGTTTCCCCAGATGCCTCAAGAACCCATTAACCCGCCCTCCCTCCCTCAGGCAAACTTCCAGGGTTTCTTCCAGTGCGATGATTCCACCAAGGTGGGACGCCCCGCCGACATCGACGAGCTCAAGCAGCTGGTCCAGTCCTACGAGCACATAAAGGCTGTGGGCGTGGGCCATTCTTGGAACAAGGAACAGTTCTGCGCCAACACATCGGCCGACTCCTCCCTGAACCTGGTCATGACCGAGCTACTGACCACCGTCAACTTCATCGAGAACCCCTCCGACCCCACGGAGTGGGGCGCCAACGGCCCGCCCCCAAACTTCCCCATCCAGGCAAGCCAAGGGGTTGGTTTCAGAGGGTTTTCTGTGGAGACTCGTGTTGGGTTCTTGCGCTTGTGTGGGTCCTGGCTGACGTCGAATATGCTGTGGGCATGGGCCCGGCCTTCTCCGGCTGGGGTGTTTGGGGTTTGGTGCCCACACCCTCAGGCGTGCCTTTTGGGTTCGAGATGCGCGGCACCCGCAGCCTGGCCTTGGCTGCCCCAACCTCCATCCTCCAAGCACTGCACATTACTCTTGCTTCCGTGCACACACAAACCCCGATTCCCCCATACCCCACCTCCCATCCCAATTCCTGGCGACCCAGGTGGACGAGGATGCGGCCCGAGTGACCGTTGCTGCGGGCGTGCCGCAGCGCATGCTGCTGGACTACCTGTCCAAGTACACGGCGTACAAGCAGCCCGCGGGCTGGACGCTGCCCGCCTTCTCCTGGTTCATCGACCAGACCATTGGCGGCGCGGTGGCCACCGGCACCCACGGCTCCTCCATGACCTGGGGCTCCCTCTCTTCCCAGACTCACGCTCTGAAGCTGGTGGTGGCCAACGGCACAGAGGTGACGCTGACGCGAGAGTCGCACCCCCACCTCTGGCGCGCGGCGGGCGTCTCCGTGGGCCGCCTGGGCGTGATCACCGAGCTGACGCTGGCCATCGTGCCGCAGCAGGCGGTGACGCGCAGCCTGGAGACCACCCAGTTTGCCAACTTCACTGCCCAGATGCTGGAGGTGCAGGAGGACTATGTCGCGGCGCGGGAGTCGGGCGACGAGGACGCCATCAAGGCCGCGCTGTTCGCGGTGGACGAGACGCAGCTCTTCTGGTTCCTGCCCAACCGCGTCATCTGGCGCACCGACTACTCCTACTCAGACAAGGAGCCCAGCGACGTCATCCCCAACATCGACCCTGCCGACGCCGCCACGCCCGAGGTGTCCGCACAGTCGGGGCCCTCTGACGACATCGTCTTTGACCAGGCCTACACGGACCCCGTGAGACCCAACGCCGCCATCCGCTACGGCACCGACGGCTGGACGCGGTTCTACACCATCGCCACCCAGAACTACGTGCGGCCGGGGACCTTCGAGCGCCGCAAGTGAGGAGAGGGTGTTGCTGTGTGTGCAGGGGAAGGGGTGGCCGGGGAAAAGTGTCTGGTGTACTCTGCGCGGCTCCCTGTGCTACCTCTTCCATCAGACGTGGTGATGCTGAGGTTCACCGAGCATATCCCAACTCCCCTGTCCCCCTGGCATGGGTCCGAGCCAGGCCAGCCCCACCCTCACCTCCCGCGCGCTGTTTGTACATGCCACACTGTTCTGCGCCCTCCTGCCCTTCCTCCCTTTCAGCTGCCCCTCTTGCTTTATCACAGTGCACCCCCGGATCTCCTAAATCCATCAATCCATCCTCCCCTTTATCCAATACCACGCCCTCCCCAACAAAAACAACAGGGCCTTCCTGAGCCAGACCGAGTTCACCACTGCCAGCGCCAGCTTCGCGCCCTACGACCAGTACGAGGTCAGCATCCCCCTGGAGCGCGCCGGCACCTGCCTGCAGGAGGTGGGTGCCGAGATCTACGGCCCCGCCAAGCTGTACGAGGGCTTCCGCACCCCGGGCCTCATCCGCTTCGTCAACGGCGAGGAGTTCTACCTGAGCCCCACGCATGGCGGGCCCAGGATGTACATCAACATCGAGGTGGGTTGAAGTTGCTGGTGAGGAGGTGGGGGATGAACATCCACTCACTGTGTCCCCCTATATGTTGGGGGCCCTAGGCGTCCATGACACCTGACGGACAGGGGTACTGTATCAACAATAAACAATGCATCGATGGGCAGGCTTGTGCTCACCGGGAGCGATGCTTCTGTAGGGCGGGGGGAGTGGGCCACCCCGTCGAGCCTGATCCCTCCCATCCCTCCCCATGTGACCCCTCCAATCAGCACCCTGGTCCAACATCCCAGCCCCACACCACAACCACTCCCTCTCACAACAGGACTACATCTCCCGCTCCACCGGCAAGCCCAACACCCAGTTCCAGACGGTCATCCAGCTGTTCCGCGAAAAGTGCGGGGCCCGGCTGCACTGGGGCAAGGCTGGCTGGCCAGAGCACGCGCAGTGCTTCGACGGGTCGGTGGAGTACCCCAACACCTGGTGCGACTATGGCTGCGCCGTGGCCGAGCTGGACCCGGGGTCAAAGTTCCAACCCCTGTCCAGCCTGTGGCAGTGGCACGCTCAGGTTAACGGCACCGAGGTCCGCTTCGACTCTTGCTGCACGTCCCAGGGCTTCGACGCGCGGTGCACCTGCGCGCCACGCACCTCCTGCGAGGGCGTGGCCTGATGGATCGAGCGGCCCAGTCGCCGACGAGCGGCGCGTGCGCCGGCGAGGCCGCCAGGGGCGAGGGGCCGAGGGTCGAGCGGGGCGCCGCACCACCCAGACCCCACCGACCCAGACCCTGTGTGCTCCGGCTGCCTGCCGTGCGCCCCCGCCTCACGTTTGATTTACCTGCCTGACGTAGTCCAGAGTGCATACCATCGTGTCCCCATGATAATGTGTCACTGCAGCTTGTTGCTCTACACCTTCCCCCTCACAGCCACCTCTCGCGCCTTATGCATCCACTTCAGGCCTTTAAGACTAAGTTATACCCTCAATGGCAGGCACATGTGATGTCAGGGGTCGGCTCTTGAGGGGAGAGAGCCCTCGCAGGTTCGGGGAGACTGAGCACAGGTCACCTCTTCCATGCCTTTGGGAAGAGGCCAAACACGCTTGAGCGGCCCCACTCGCACATCTGCGTCATAGATCCGCACTCAGCGCACCAAAGATTCAAATTTGGGCATCGCGAAATTGGGATTCAGCTCCTCAACTAGGCGATGAAGGCATCACCCCAGGTCCGCACCACCACGACGGCACCGGTGAAGAAGGCCACCGCCTTCAACAGCGACTGCGAAGGGGAGGTGGATGGCGGCATGGTATGGTGGATCGTATTTGAGAATTTGGCCTCGATCCGAGCATGGCGATTGTTTCTCACCAGGTTGGCGGAGCGGTTCGGCTCTCGTTGCCACTCCTGCTTGTACAAGGTCTTGAGCTGATCCGTGAAGGTTGCCGCCATGGCCTTAAGGTTGGCGAATTACCTTCTCGATATTCTTCGAGAGGAATCTGAAAGGTTGCTGAGAAGTACGCCCTCCCTTGCGGGTCCTTATATCCCGAGCTCGCCGCTCACAGGAGGAAACGAGGGAGAGTGTTCTCTCAGCTCAATGATCGAGTCTTATACGTAAGCTTTTCATCAGCGTGGACACCAGAACGGATACTAGGAAGTGTGATGGTAATCAAATGTTCTTGTGAACTCGGATCAGGGGCTGCCACAAATCATTTGGAACAGGGTGGATGTTGGGGAGGGGTTCATTCTCAGGAGTGGGGCTCAGGATGCATTGGACTGCAGGGTCGGCCGCCCCTTCGCTGCGTGGGCTTCCTGCGCGAGCTTTCGTGCCGTCTCCACAGCCCGCCACTTCAGCACGGGCGCGAGGCTGGCGTCGAGGAGGACCGCGCGCTCGATGAGCAGGCTGGCCGCCGTCCAGTTGCCGCGCTGGAGCTCGAGCAGGCCCCAGGCCTGGCAGAGGCGGGGGGAGCTGGGGTTCAGCGCCAGTGCCTTCTGGAGGACGGCACGGGATCGCAGGATGCCGTCCTTGCTTCGACCGCAGCGCTTCTCCATCTGAAGGCACAGGAGGGAGAGTGATGTGGATCCCTTGAGTGGGCGTGCACTTGTGTGCTGAGCAGCAAGACAAAATTGGGCACCAATGGAGGGGGCATAGACCTGATGACAGCGCAGTCACCTCGGGCATCGCCCGCACATGTCAAACAGTGCGGTGCTGCATGTACAGGGACACTGGTTTCCCATGCTTGCGAGAGCTTCACTCCATGGACCGTATGGGGAGACCCACCTGCGCCCAGGACACCCAGGCCGTCTCCAGGTTGGGGCACATTTGAATGGTGTTCTCGAACGCCTGCCTGGACGCCTCATAGTCTTGCACTCGAGCAAGCTCCAGAGCCTGCACAGATCGTCGAGGCATTGGGCTGAGACGAGGGGCACATTGCGAGAAACCTCGGCTCATGGGTGCGGGTCGCCAGCACTCACCTCCTGGTACATACGGAAGGAGCGGCAGGAGCACACCTCCGATGTGCGGCGAGTGCAAAGATTCTGCATCAATCTTTTCTTCGAGGTTCGCAACGATTTTATGTTGTTCATCTCGCTGGCGCCGGTGGCCTGGCAGCTCAAACTCAGGCCCCGACACATTGTTCCGGCAGTGGCCCCGACAGTTTTGAAGCCGGGAAGCGGTGGGATCCTTACACGCTCCCTGGGCTGCTGATCGCGCACGAATAGCTCTGATGGATTTCCATGCCAACGCCTTGATTCTGGAAGGTGGATGCTGAGATCACTAGCTTAGGCCTAGCGCGCGCCGGAGCGCCGAGACCACGCGCCCAGCGTGCTCTGGCCACTCTCCCCCACCCCGAGAACAGGGATGCATTGCACTGCGCGTGCGCCCGGTACATTTCAAGCAGGACTATCCTTCATCGATGGTGCCCCCCCGATAATACAGAAATATCGATATTGCATTCACATCATGTGCTCCTTAGAGGACTGGACGGGTTCATGCCTATTGAAGGAGGCGCGCTGCCCAGGGGTGTTAAGGGTGGATGGCTACGCCAAGCTTTCATGAGTACAAGCCTACTGGGCTGACCTAAGACCATGCAGTAGCTTGGGTCTGGATGATATTTAAAAAACCAAATCTGTCCCAGACTGGCTCACACGCTATGTATGGCAGCAATCAAGGAAATGGTGCACGCAGAGGCAGCTCAACACGGTAGAGCTGAAGCACAGCTAGGGGCATGGAGCATTGTGCCTGCGTTTATAGACAGTGCACATCGTATCAGGCAGGTCCATTTGGGGGATCAACAGGTGGGCTTGGAGGTCCAGGCTAATCTTAACAAGCATGATGGCCTGGGATGGAAGACGACAGCCCCCTGAAAGGGGCCACGGGGCAGGTTGGGGGAGCCACAAAGGGGCTTGAATGTTCGCAGACATTTCAGGTGCAGCGGCTGCATGTGGAGAGGAATCAGATGTGAGGGATGTGAGCAACGATTGCCAGCGCAAGGCTGCTTGGCAACGCTCAACCATCCGAAATTTCAGGAGGAAGGGGAGGGCGCGGACAGGGGCAAGGTTGAGGGAGGAGGGTGCGGGGTGGGTGACTGTACCTCCCCTGCCGTCGAGTTGTTGCTGTGGTGAGCTCCCAAGTTGGGGTCGCGGTCTCAGGAGTGAGCAGTGGTCCAGAGGGTGTGATGTGAGGAGCACGGGATTGGTCGCCAGTGATGGTCGCAGACAGCGAATTTGCTGGGGGTCGAGCTGCGTTCGCGGATGGGAAAGGCAGGGCTGATAGTCTCACATCCAGCCGGGGAAGTGGGAAACGTGTTCGGAGAGTAGGGGCGTGGGCATCGCGAGCTCAGCGGTCTGAGGGAGGTGCATTCCATCCATGTTTTGGTTGAAGGAGAACTGCACGGCCAAGGGAGTGGAAGGAGTTGTAACCGGGGAGCAGTGTCTGTGCCACCATCTCAGACACGGCGGGAAAAGACAGAGGCCTAGCCTCAGTCAGTGGCAGCTCACGCGCTGTGCACGCCCTTGCATGAGGCAGCCCACCTGGCGATTGAGGGCGTCCAGCTGGGCCGCCAGCACAGACTGGGCGGTGGGCCCAGAGGGCGGGGATCCATGCGACAGGTTTGCGAGGTGCTGCCCCTCGTACCCAGCTGCAGGGCAGGGAGGGATTGGGGGCACCAGCTCAGGTGGATTGCATCCGCTGCTTGTGGCGTGACCCTGATGACCCAGGCTCTAGCAGGAGTGGGCTATGCAGCTTGCTCGCCATCCCCATCCCCACCAAGCCTCAAGGTTGCTCGTCCTGCTCCGGCACTCACTCAGGGGACCAAAGAGGCTGAAGGCGGGCGCCTGGGTGCGCGAATGGGGAGCACGGACATCGGGGCACGGCTTGCTGGACAGCAGGAGCGATGCATCCCAAGGCCCAGTCTCGGCGGCTGTGGGGTCGGAAGGGGACGGGCAGGCGTGAGGATCGGCACGCACGGCGGCATGCCTGGCACCTGGCACTGGCAACCCAATGCACTCGAGGCACGCCGGTGGTATGTCGCTCCCAGGGTACCACCACATCCACTTTGAGACCCCTCGTCAGGCCCCTTGAGCACGCCAGCATACCAGAATGGGCACCCAGGCCAAAGTCTAGGCGCATGGGCGTGACGTCCTGGCAGCGTGCCGATGGGGCCACGTTGCCGTCCTCACAGGCCCGGCCCAAGGCCGCAAGGTGTGCGGACGCCTGCAGCATGCTCCAGGGATACTGCTCAGGCATGCAGAGCTGGGAGTCGAAGAGCGGGGTGGCGGGCATCGGCGGTGGCGGGGAGGGCTCCTGCGCACATGGGGTGCGGGGGTTGGTGCGCTGGTGTGGCACCTGGCACGATGGTGCATGGGAGGTTGGTGACAGGGGCGGAGTCCAAGGTGGCAGCTGATCTGCATGTGTCATTCAGGTTGCAGGCAGCCCACTGGAACCGCCAGACCCTCGGCACCTTGACGGGGGGCAGACCACAGCCTGGGACGAGGGCTGCCCAGCCTGGATTCTTGATTGAGCACTTAAACGCACCGGCGTCACCGGCCTGCAGGTTCTCCTTGTTGCCCGCCGGGGAAATGGGTGAGCGGGGGTGCTTCCTGTTCCACCCTCGCGCCATGCTGTGGTCCAGAGCCATCAGGGGATTGTGGAGGGTGAGATCAGCGCACTAAATGACAAGGAACAGCCGGGCTGTGCAGGGAGGGTGGCGAACTGAGGGTAGCTAACACCACTCATAAATGGACCCAAATCGCCACGCCCTTGCCTAGCCATCAACGCCACGACCCTGCAGGCCAGGATCATAGGCACAACCTGCATGCCCACCCATCTGTCGTACGCCCAGGCACAAATGCACACACCTGTCGCTGTCTGCACGGAGGGATGCCGCAAAGGGGACCGCGTGGCGGGGTGGAGGCTGGTACATGAAGTCCACCGACCCAATGACCTGCACCCGGTCCACGGCTTGACCTGTCGTGTGAGAGCGGGAGGGGTTTGAATGGCGTGGGGGGCAAGATGGAGCAGGGCGAACAGGGTGGTCGCTGGGCGAACAGGAGCCGGGCGGCAATCACTCTCCTTAGGGCACAGCAAGGCCACAGTTGTCTTTGACCCTAGCAGAGCTGTAACCGTTCTCCCACAACCCTTTCCCACTTTCGAATCTCACCGCAGAAGGCGCCTTCGCACAGGTCTTTGTAACGCGCAACAGCTCCAGAGATGATCTGCAGTGCCATCTGGATGCTGCAGGGAGGCCCCTGCATGTAGATGGGAGGCGGGGGGCATGGGCATCGATGATGTTCAGGTCTGAAACGGCACAAGGCAATCCCTTTGGCAGGGCAGACGGCGCAGGCAAAGTCAGGTGCAGTGGTCAATGGTGCAAGAGCAGCCCTAGGGCAGTGCCTGTGAGTGGGAGGCTGGGTGAGGAACCACGCACCTCGATGATCAGGGTCCGCACTTTGCGGTCCTTTCCCCTCACTTTCACGTTCTCGTTCCAGCTGCGGATGGAGGAGCCGGTGCGATGCGTGATCTCACGCACTGACGCTCCAGAGGGCCCTGTCGGTAGGGGTTGGGTGATAGTAAGTGCTAGATTGCGACGTGGGGAAAAAGGGGTTCTGCAGGAATGGTACCTTCCTGGAAATAGTGGGGCTGGTGGATGTGCTGTAACGTTGCTCACAACCATACTGGACGCAACATGATGAGGTGATCCTCGCGTGAAAGCCCTCCTGCCCTGGTGGACTCACCAATCACAAAACCTGCTGCCAGCAAGGTGATCCGCAGCTTAGCGCTGCCCTCGCCTGTCATCTCGGCAGAGACGACGCCCTGCTCATCCTCATCACAGCCCTCACCCCGCATTCTCGGTCCTGCATCATGCACATGAGGGACAATTCTAAGCACAGAGCTTCACAACTGATGGCGTTGCATCCGATCACAGCAACGAATCCGCCCGCAAACGGGCCGTTGCTGCAGGCGATTCCCTCCCACCTCACCAGATGGCGCCAAGCCAGGGCTGGGCATCTCCCTCAGCCTCTGCAGAGCTCGCTGTCGGCGCGCACGCTGCTCATTCGGGGTTCCGGAGATGACGCTGCACTGTATATAGTCGATCATCGATCGCAGCGACGCATTCGTAGTGTCTTTGTCGTGCATTATGGTCTGCGACGGAAAGGGCGGGGGGTTGGGGTTTCATCCAGGGTAGTCCGACTTAGGGTGTCTGAGCCGTCAGTTCCACTTCACATCCCCATGTAATGTGTTGATGAACATTGGTGCTCTCTGTAATGGTTCGTACCCGGCGAGGTTGGCAAGTCTGGGAAGGCACAGATTCAAATGGCGTGTCTTGCGACCTGGATGAAACCGGCGCCCAGCAGCAATTGTGAGCGCAGTGCCTGCAGTAACGCACTCAATTGTGAGCAAGTGAAAGATGCCATGGAGAAGGGGATTGTGTACTGCGCACCCGCAGCTCGTACTCATGTATCAGGCAATGCGCGCCGGGGACGAGGAGATGCTGGCCCGCTCTTGATTCTTCGCCGTGAATATCGATGCACCACACATTGCTAACAACACCCCTCAACTTGGAATCATGAGCACTTCACCTCCTCTGACGCAAGAATGCGACTTGAGCAATTGTGAACGCTCAAAAGATCCAATCTTTTGCCCATGCGTGTGATACCTCGTCATCACATCCCTAGTCGCGGTAGGTATTGTACGGACATCATCTTGCAGCTTGCACCCGAAGCTCGGCAAAGGTAGGTTCAGCAAGTATGACCAGGGAAAATTTCGGATGAAATATGTTGTTAGACCTATATGTCTCATCCTAGATGGTTGAGATGGGCAACTCGATGTCAGTCGATCTTTCAACATGGACGACCATGAACATGCCTATCCCGCATCTGTATCAAGTCCATGATCAACTCCCCACGTAGAGGGACAACTCGCGGCCAGTCTCGCATTTAGAACTCCCGGTAGCGCAGGGGTGTCTGAGATGCTTCTAAATTGCGGTGTCATTACCAACTGTGACAGTCCTCCTTTGATCACGGTGCACAGCTCCATGGTCTGCTGGATGGAAGCGCAGGCAAAATAAAGCCAACACTATATTGGTTGGACTAGGAGGAGGGCGCATGTGGGCCGAGGTGAATAGCATTCATGAAGCCGATCGGGCCATGCTGTGCATTGCAGGCAATTTGGGCAACCTGTCGCGGTTGGGTCTGCCACCTAGGAGGCCGTCACCCATGACCGCGCCCAGTGCGGGGTAAAGTGCTCTACAGCGGCATGAGGGAAAGCCTTGCGCGATAGTATCTCAAACAACCTCTGTCGTAGATGCGCGTGCCCATCTACTGCATCATCAATCTACGACAACTGTTTCGCCTGGAACAGCCGGTCCGTCGCCACCTCCTAATTCCAGAGTAAGATCCAACATCGCTCTGACATTGGTGTCCCTCTTGACACTGACCAGTACCTTGCAGAATGTCCCGTCCAGCTTATGTAGATTGCGCGCATGCCGACTGCTTCAGCATACCGTGGCGAAAAAGGCTTCCGACCTTGGAACCCCCACCATAATGACGCCCTTTTCCTGACATAGTTCCGAGTGATGCCGCAAAGCCTGGATGGCGAAGAGCGCGTATGAGTACGTGCGAACCTTCGAGCAAGACGACAGGCTGTTGCCTGGCTGCTGGATCGTCCTCAGAGTGGATGGCAAAGGGTTCACAAGGTGTTACTTGGGCAGCCCGATCTTGAGTTGAGGTTATGGTCCGTCTCTTGCTCAGGGACATCACCTGGCTCCACGCTGGTCCCACAACCCCAGGTTCTGTGAGGAGCACAAGCTTGAAAAGCCAAATGACGGCCGGGCCCTGGCCTTGATGGACGCATCCGCAGAGGTGATCTCTGTGTTGCATCTGAGCGGCACAGGCATGCGTGAGAGTGTTTTGCTGCAAGGGTGCGTTGGATAACGGTGCTCGTGCTCATTCCATCTCATCATAGATTGCCTCAAAGTGGGTGATTCCTCCCACTCAATCAGAACCTGACAACCCTGCCAACCACCATCAGGCAGTGATGCTTGCCTTCCCAGACGTGCGCCTGGCGTTTGGGGAGAGCGACGAGTACAGTTTCGTGCTGCCCCCCAGCACAAAATTATATGGTGAGGAGCTGGGATGTCCTGGCTCCTTCCCTCGGCCTGTGCTCTCGTTTGTGCTCGAGTGCTCCGCAGGGGTGCGACTGTGTGTGCGTGCCCATGGCATCTCCATGCCCCGGGCGCAGCCAGGCCTCCCCGCCTGGCCGCGTCCGGCCCGCCCAGCGTGTCCACCCACGCCATTGCACTTGCAGGGCGTCGGGCCTCCAAACTCGTCTCGCTGGTGGTCTCCTGTTTCACGGCCACCTATGTCAGGCGGTGGGCCGAGTTCCTGCCCGAAACGCCCCTGCTGTCCACCCCCATGTTTGATGGTCGGGCGGTGTGCTACCCCAACCTGGCCGTGCTGAGGGACTACCTGTCCTGGCGCCAGGTGGACACCCACATAAACAACCTGGTGAGAGGAGGGGAGCGAGGCACAAGGCCACACCTGCGCAGTCGAGATGGGGCCTCTGAGCATGCTGTACCCGTACGGCCTGGGTCATCGCCAACCTTCCCCTCCTCTCCACCCAATTGCTGAAGTACAACGCCTGTTTCTGGGCCCTGGTGAAGGGCGGCATGGATCAGGCAGCTGCACACGAGAGACTCAAGGTGTGCCTGAACACATAGAGGGAGAGTGGAAAGGAGGGGCGAGGACCCTACTTCTTGGCTCCATGAGATTAGAGTGCTAGGTGACACCTAACCAGCCAGGTATGCCGCCGACATCAACGTGGCAACCCGACACACACCTCACTGTAGGGCACGCTGAGCAGCCATAAGAATGAGCTGCTCTTCTCCGAGTACGGTATCAACTACAATGAGATCCCCGCCCGCTTTCGCAAGGTGGCCACGGGTAGCCGGATGTACTGTGCGTCCCATGATCAGACCGTAGGAAGAAGGGGCAACAGAACGCCCAGGGCCCCCCTCATTTCTGAGGACCTCTCCCTCCCTCCCATATCTCCCTTTGGCAGGGCTCAACCCTCATCCGCCAGCGGGCGGAAGTCAGGGTGAAGAAGCCAGATGGGAGCTGGGGCGTGCGGGAAAAGTGGGTGCTGCAGGTCTTGCACGTCGACATCATTGGCAACCAGTTCTGGGAGGAGCACCCACACCTTGTGGAACCCTGATCCAATGCCGGCCTGGTTTCCAGCAGTGGCTTGAACCCATTTGCTGCGTGCAGCACGCGAATGCTCACACCAGTCTGGGGCTATGTGCAGAGACCTTCGGCTTACTGCCCCACCGTGTGGCTGCCATCGCATACACTGTGACGCTATCAAACTGCACAGACGGCTGTGGATGAATCGCAACATGAAAATCCACGAAACAGCATGGCATAAGGTCGTGGAAATGTATGAGGCAGGCGAGGGGGAGTCAATGCAGGCTTGGGGGGGGGTTATTCCGAGACAGGGTTCTGCACCACGACCAAGCAGTACTGTCTCTCCTTGTCGGCGCCTGGCGCGATCATGATCTCTCCTCGCCGGCTTCGCACCCGCAGGAATTGCAGCTCGTCGTCGCTCGCTATCTCACGAACCATACTCCGAGCTTTACTGGCGAGTGTGGTGGCCAGGGCTGCATACTGCTGAGCGGCATCCTGCTCGAGCGTTGTCCGCACCGGGACGCCGTCGGCGGTGGCCACCAAGATGCCCCGCACCCCTTTATAGGACGCGAGGCGCTTGATAGTCTCATCCACCGCCGTGATATCCGCCATGGGGTTGATTCAGTCCCACATCGCGCGCCTGGGTAGTCCAAAGAACCCCTCCTGTCGCAAGTCTGATCTTCCGTGGTGGGCCCTCTGTTGACCGGTGTTGACCGGTTTCCCCTGGTCACCTGATTGACACCACGCCTTTCTCCTACATTTTCCAATCAAGCTCCTGCCCTAGTCATCATCATGAGGCCTTGGATTCGACCATCTTGGCAGTTAAAGAACGCGAAATTCTACATACTACACGGGACCAATGACATACCAAAGCTTAGATTGTTCAGAAATGCCATGCTCTGGAAGCAAACCTGCATTGGATGCTTCACTGGGGGTGCAAGCGAGCTTGACGTTCATGATCTTGAGGCACCTGACGTGTCATGTGGTGCTCCTCATCTCCCAAGAAGTCTGGGAGGCCAAGAATGGGTTTCACGACACTCGTACTGGGTAATCACGTAGGCAGCATCCCTCAAGATCAGCGGAGACCTGCTTGGTCAGTCAGCTGTTCAGCCTGTGCCACCGTCTGCTCCTCCTCAGCCAGCAGTGCCAGTGTGGCTCGGCAGGCTGACCAGGCCTCTGGGTCAATGAGACCGTGGCCCCTTCGCAGCACTTGCAGGGTGGCCGCTACATCCTCAGCAGCACCGTCGGGCTGCCCCACCGTGGCGCCTAGCCTTGAGTCAAGGTACAATGCAACGAGGTCTGCGCAAGCCTGACACAGAGGATCCCTCGCTCCCTCCTGTACATCTTCCGAACCTGCGCTGGAGCACAAATCAGTCCGACCATCCGAGTCAGATCCCGAGGTGGTGTGGGGCCGCCGCAGCGAGCTCAACATGTTGTCCAGCATGCAGGCCGCGAAGCTGGAACGAAGGAGATTGCAGCGCGCCCCTCCTTCCACGCTTTCCAGTCTTGCCAGCAAAGCAACGGCCTGCACACTGCATGGGCATGGGACGTTGATAACATACATGGAAGATGAGGAAACGGGTGCTTAGCCCACCTACTGAGGGTCCAGCTTGGTGACGACAGCATCTCTCTGCATGTGGATGTTAGAGCGATCAGCAACAGAAACCTGCACGATGAACTCCCCCATCAATCCATCATACATTTCTGTGGCGAGTTCTAGGTTTGAGGAGCCTCCCAGCAGGTTCCAAAGGGCAAGCAGGACTTCATGGCTGGCAAAGGCGTCTCTGAATGCGGCGCAGACCTGTCGAGGGGAACCAGAGAAGGGCTGGACGGGTTGCCGCAGGGGCAGTGACTCAGCAGCATGGTCCTTGCGATTATAGTAAGTGATTTTTCTTTGCAGGACCGACATGGCCAGCACCACGACTCGAGCGGTCTTACAGAGGTCAGGCCGCACCCAACCAGGCACCTGCTGGTCTTCCAGGGCGAGGCGCAGGATGTGGGTTGCAGCGAGGGCAGTGTCCTCGGGTGGGGTCCCCTGGCTGAGCACCGAGTGGATTCCGGAAGCCAGCTGGGCCTGACCTGTCACAGCCTCAGGGTGGGTGTCAGCGACTGACGCCAGCAGCCCCCAGGCCAGACTGCGGGTCCGATTACCAGCCTCTGCGTCCTGGTACTGCACACCAAACGCCAGCATGCCCAGCATAGCCGGAACCCCATGCGCGACGAGGAAGGGGGGAATGCCCTCGTCGCTGCGACAGGCGGCGAGCAGCTCCTCCCCTGCCAGGCTCCAGTTGGAGGCGGGGTCGGGGTCTGCAGCGTCCACTTCCCGCGTGCTGGGGTTGGCCAGGAAGCACCGCAGGATCTCCAGGATGTACACTGGGTCGTACAGCATGGGAGACTCCATGCCCCTCCGTTATGGTGCAGTGACCACCCCTGATCAACTTTGGGGTAGTCGTCCCAAGCAATGGCCTTGATGTCTCCCGCTCAAATTCTATCGAGTGCTGAAGTAGTTAGCATCAGGCTATCCAGAGTATGGGAGGGTTCTTGTAACCCCATCATGCATTCCTCCAATATCAAGACTGGGCCAGACAAGTGGGAACTTGCTGCGTCAAGCGCAGATGCCTCCTCCGTCCGTGTCTCGGGTTAATACTGCCATAATTAATACCGTCGAATTGATGCTTCCAGAAACTATCGGTGGACGCTCGAGCCTGTGTAACGAAACTGTCGACGGACGTATCGCAGGCCAAATCCAGCGCGCCCTCCAAGCATATCTTCTGGGCGCTCAGCGTGGCCCCGCCTTGCACAGCAATGCTGAGAACTCGCGCCACGCAACCTTTGCTCGCCAAGCTGTTCCTGTTTACCATATCTGGTTCACAACCGAGTCCTGGCAGGGTGCCCAGGTTGATGGGCGACACGCTCGGAGCACGGTGATCCCGGGCTATCGGTTTCCGCCCGTCACCACCAAGAACTGCCAAGCCATGTCGAAGGAGCCGCAGACCATCGACACAGGTACCCAGGGGCATGCATGTCGTGCTGACACCTCGAGGCGTCGCCTGCAGCCCGTCGCGACCCCCCCCTCCCCCCCGCGTCAAAACCCTCCACAGTCTGGAAGGCCGCTGCCTACGGCGACTTCGACGTGCTGACCCGGCTGGCGGGGGCCGACCCCTCCCTCCTCCACGCCCCCGACGACCAGGGCTTCTACGCCCTGCAGTGGGCGGCGCTGAACAACCGTGTAGCGGTGCTGACCTACCTGCTGGGCGCGGGGTGCGCTGTGGATGTGGCCGACGCGTCGCGCCAGACACCGCTGCATTGGGCGGCAGTGCGCGGGTCCGTCCCCGCCGCCGAGACGCTGCTGCGCGCGGGGGCCGACCTGGCCGCCCGCGACTCGCGCGGGTACACCGTGGCCCACGTCGCCGCGCAGTACGGGCAGGCAGGCCTGCTGCACCACCTGGCGCTGCGCTGGGGCGCCGACCTGGACGCGCCCGACGCCGACGGCCGCACGCCGCTGCACTGGGCCGCCTACAAGGGGCACGCCGACGCGCTGCGCCTGCTGCTCTTCACCGGCAGCGCCGCCGCGCGCCCCGACGCCGAGGGCTGCACGCCCCTGCACTGGGCCGCCATCCGCGGCAACGCCGAGGCCTGCACCCTGCTGCTCCAGGGCGGCGCGGGGGAGTGCCTGGCCGCAGCCGACGCCACGGGCGCCACGCCTAGCCAGCTGGCGGCCGAGAAGGGGCACCGCGTGCTGGGCCTGACCCTGGCGGACGCGCGCGTGCGGCACGAGCGCGGCGCCGGCGGCGGTGGCGGCCCGGGGCGGCGGCGGGGCGCACTGGCGCTGGCCGCCTCGCTCCACCTTGCGCCCGCGGTCTGGGCCATCGTGCTTGCCATGCTGGCCTTGCTCATTTTTGGCGTCACGGGGGTGAGGTTTCTCGGGGTGGGCGTGGTGTGGGGCGATAGGGGGGGCCATTCGGGCCCTGGCAGCCCGTGGCAAAGGGTGTGGGTGGATGCAGGTGCACAGCCAGGGAACATGGGACGGCACAGCATGCCTGGAAGTCCTGGGCAGAGCACGATGTGGGGCGGTGCATGCCATGATACTCCCCCCTTTCCTCGCCCCTCAGCAGGTGCACGACGGCCCGCCCCCTGCCCTGGGCACGCTGGCGGGCACCTGGGCCAGCTTCCTGCTGGCCACCTGCGGCCTGTACTACCTCTTCCGCACCACCACCGCCGACCCGGGCATGCTGCCCTGCGCGGCGGGCCGGCACGCGGGCTCCACGCCGCGCGCCGGCCAGCCCGGCAAGTCGCACGGCAGGGCGGCGGGGGAGGCGCGCGGGACCGGCGGCCGCGACGACGACGCGCCCGAGGACGCGCGCAGCGGCCTGGCCTCCCCCGCGCTGCAGGCGGGCAGCTGGGGGCAGATCTGCGTGGCCTGCCGCATCGTGCGCCCGCTGCGCGCCAAGCACTGCGGCGTGACGGGGCGCTGCATCGAGTGCTACGACCACTACTGCCCCTGGGTGGGGAACGTGATCGGGCGTGGCAACCGCGCCTTCTTCCTCACCTTCCTCTGGCTGGAGCTGGGGTCGGTGACAGCGGCGATGGCCGTGGCCGTGGCACGCCTGCACTCGAGTGCGCACTTTGGGGGGAGGGGGGGGGATCCAAGTGCAGGGGAGACCCCTGGGCGGGGGGGGGGGACTGGTGCGCCCATCAGGCGGGCAAGGGGGGACAGGCGGATGTCCAAGCCATGGCATCGCACCTGCAGGACTCCTCAGGCGGTATGGGTCCCAGGAAGCTGTTGCACTCAGGGCCCACACTCACCCCCCATCCCCCCCCACCCTCCGTCCCTGCAGACCTGGCGCAGCCCCGGCCCGGGCACGGCCCCGCGACCCTGGTCTGGCCCGTGGTGTTCGTGGTGGCCGACGCCTTCCTCCTGCTCAGCATCGCAGCCCTGGCACTGGCACAGACCAACCAGATCGCCAAGAACATCACCACCAACGAGCTCGCCAACTGGCACAGGTGCGGGGGGCAACCAATGGGTCGGCTGCCTGGCCTGAGTGCATGGGGCTTTGCGACAGGGGACCCCAGTGTCACCTCCGCCATACCAGGATCCCACGGGGCGGGCCACTCCCCCCAAAGCCTTGCTGAAGCCGGCACACCTCCTCATGCTGTCCTCGCGCCCATGCTCCCAGGTACAAGTACCTGCACGCGGCCGACGGCGAGTTCCTGAACCCCTTTGACCGCGGCTGGAAGGCCAACTGCGCGGAGGTGTGCTGCGCGGCTCAGCGCCCCCGCTCGCAGTATGTGCTGGAGGGCGGGGAGGACTCTGTGTCCCTCCTCGGCAGCGCGGGCGGGAAGCTCGATGCCATGGTGTGACGCCTGCTTGACTTCACATGGAGAGTTGCCACGCAGCGCTCGGAGCATTCGGGTAGTTTCCGCGCCGTTTTCCGCCTGGGCGAGTCGCCGGGGTCCTCCCCACTCTCACACACTCGTCGCACATGCCTCCCTTTCGCTTCCTTCCCGTTGCACCGACACTGACACGTGCGCGCATCCATGTGTGCGATGTACAAGCGCTGCCTGACCAGCGAGTGAGAGCCAGCAGAGGGAGGGAAGGGTTGTGGACAGCACCAGACAACAATGTATCGGGGTGAACCAGGGTATCCTCCATGGAACCGTCGGGGGAGGAAGAGCGGCGGCGCAGGGTTTGCGCTGCATCGAGAGGTGTGCAGGTGTACTCAGTCGCCGGCCACCTTTTGGCCTGTCCGCTCGGCGGGAAGAGGTCGGTTGAAGCCGCCCTGGATGTGGGTGGTCGAGCGGGTGGCATCACGGTCTGTGCTTGCGGTCGAGACCAAGTGAGGTCCCACCTGGCACGGGGGCTGCAATGCCCGAGCCAAAGCCCCCCTCCCCGCACTGGCGGTCAAACACCCCCCCGAACAGCTTGCACCGGCAGGCATGAGCCGCAGTCCCGGTCACCCACCCTGCGATTCATGAACTGGCGGGCCTGGCGGGTCGACTTGACCTTGACGGCGCCCACGCTGGTCCTGGGATCGTCCGACTGCTTGCCCTGGGTGGTGTCAAACCCCTGCTCAGCGGGACAGGGGAGATGCATGAGACGCTAGGAAGGGTGGCGGTGGACATGTCAGAGCCAGGCACCAAAACGCATCGCAATCAGCAGCCAGGATGCTCCTGTACCCTCCGTCGCAGGATGCTCGCGGCGTCTGCTCGGTCTCCCACGCCCAACCCAGAATTCCCCTCGCACTCACAAAGGGGATGCCCATGGCGGCCATCATGCGGATCTCGTCTGCCGTCACCTCGCCATCCAACTCCGGCGCGCCGGCCGGCAGGCTGGGCGGGGGCGGCGGGGCCAGCGGTGGCGGCGGCGGTGCGGGTCCTGGGACCGGCGGAGGGGGCAGGGGGGGCGAGGGGCGGCACGTCCTCGGGTGGGGGCGGGAAGGGCGGCGGCGGGGGCGTCCGCGACCTGCTGCGCCGCCGCTTGGCCCCGCGCCCATCCCGGTCCCGGCTGTCATCCCTGCGGGCCCTGCGGCGATCGTCATCCCGCCCATACCGCCGGTCCTCGCGCGAGCCGTCCCGTGCGTGGCGCTCCAGATCCCGCTCACCACGCCGCTCCCCTCGGTCGTCATCATGTCGGGCGTAGGGTTGGCCGCCCCGCCTGTCCTCATCCTCATATCGCCGGCTCATCACCTCTGAGGGGCGCCTGCGAGGCTGCCCTTGCTTGAGGCCGACGAACGGCTGATGTTGGTCTGCAGTGTCCGGGCCAGCTGCAGCCGCTTGTCGTGCAAAGTGTCAAAGTGCTTCACCTGGGGTTGGGCAGGAAGGGAGCTCTTGTTGGGCCAGGCCCCGATGATGGATGTCCCTCATTTCAACAGCCAGCACCACATGCGCCCGCTTCGACAAGCCGAGATTCACTGATGGAAGCAGCATGACTGCAACAAGATCCGCCTCACCCAGGAGGCTTTGCAAGAGGCCTCGTACTCCTTTCGGACAGATTTGCACGCCAGAGGGGCCTCCTTGCCCGGCCGGAATTCCGCACCGCTACCTTCCAAGCACGAGTAGAACTTGTCCCTGGCCTGCAAGATGGGATTTCGAACACACAAGGATGAGGCTCTTCAAGGTGAAGATTGGCGTGTCAGGCCTCACTCAACCCATTCACCACCCTCCATCACCTGGTAGCACTTGTTCCGTGCTGCCCTCAGCACACTGGAATCAGCAGCAGCAGACATTCCTATCCATCCACATCACACTGATTTGAAAGCACTGCTGCGTGAAGAGGTGCGCAAGATGCTTTTTCTTCTCCCTAGGGGGCCAATGGTCGGATTTCCCGTGCTGAGCTGGAACCAGCATGGCACGCAGCAGCCACTTGCTGCCGCCTGGACTCGTGGTTCTCTGCACCCTTGGATTGGAAGTGACCCGAGTGGTGACAGAACCAAATCACTAAAGGTGTATTGGGGCGTACACGCCCTGCGATCTGGTTCTATCCGATCGCCGACCTGGTACGTGCCATCAGGCACCGCTCGCCCAGGTAGGTGGGGGGCCACAGGGGTGGGGCGCACCGCGCAGCGCCGCGTTACAAAACGACTTGTGAATAATTCCCTCTGTATAGCTCTCCGGCGGTTCGATGGCCTTCATCGCCTCGCAGTGTGAAGGCTGGCCGTATGCACGCTTCCAAGCCTCATCGGTCCCCTTCCCGCCCCTTCCCGACAGGCCATGGCCGGAGCCCCGACCTGCGGGCTGCAGGATGTGAAGGAGGGCAAGGACTACCATTTCCCCACGGAGGAGGAGGCTGTGCTGGCCTTCTGGACCGAGATCGACGCCTTCAGGGCCCAGCTGGAGCGCACCAAGGGCTCCCCCGAGTACTCCTTCTACGACGGCCCCCCCTTCGCCACGGGCCTGCCCCACTACGGCCACCTCCTGGCAGGCACCCTGAAGGACATTGTCACCCGGTACGCCGCCTGCACGGGGCACCACGTGGAGCGCCGCTTCGGCTGGGACTGCCACGGGCTGCCCGTGGAGCATGAGATTGACAAGCAGCTGAACATCACCACCCGCGACGACGTGCTGGCTATCGGCATCGACACCTACAACGAGGCGTGCCGGGCCATCGTCATGCGCTACTCTGGCGAGTGGGAGAAGGTGGTCACGCGCATGGGGCGCTGGATCGACTTCCGGAACGACTACAAGACCATGGACCCCTCCTTCATGGAAAGCGTCTGGTACGCCTTCAAGCAGCTCTTTGACAAGGGCCTGGTCTACCGCGGCTTCAAGGTTGTTGGTGGGCACGCAGCTACCCGGGGAGATGGGCCGGGTGCATTGCGCAGAGGTGCTGCAGACCGCCGATATGTGGCTTGGGAGTGGATATGGCTTGGTGGGATCGTGTGTAATCCCCCCACACACAAAAAAATGCTCTGCAGCTTCCCCATACTTACCTGTCTTCTGGGAACAAAGGATTGCGCCGCCGTGATGAGCACAGCCTAATCTATTTTCTGACACCTCTATTGTGAGGGTGGGCATCCACATGCCGCTCATTGAGCTCAACCGCTGTAGTGTCTGAGCGCACCATCCCGTGTGATTCCTCAGCTGGTTGCATCTGAAGCCTTGGATGGGGCAGCGTCGCCTCCCGGCCAGCTTGCCTGCATACGCTGCTCCTCCTGCCCCCGTTCAGCTTAGGGCGCCCACCCAAAGGAACCCCCTTCACCCTCCCACATTAACCTCACCCACTCCCGGCCCCTCCCCAGGTCATGCCCTACTCCACCGGCCTGTCCACCCCATTGTCCAACTTCGAGGCGGGGCAGAACTACAAGGACGTCAGCGACCCCTGCGTCTCCGTGGCCTTCCCCCTGGATGGCGACGAGGAAGGCGCGGCGCTGGTGGCCTGGACCACCACACCCTGGACTTTGCCCTCCAACCTCGCGCTCTGCGTGCACCCCACGCTGGAGTACGTGCGGGTGAGGGACCCCGCCAGCGGCCAGGTCTACATTGTGCTGGAGAGCCGGCTGTCGGAGATCCCCGGCGCCCTGCCCCCCAAGGCCGGGGCCAAGAAGAAGAAGGACGCAGGGGAGGGCGCGGCGGCGCCCGCCGGCTTCCAGGTGCTGGCCCGCTTCCCCGGCGCGGAGTTGGCGGGGCGGACCTACGCCCCCGCCTTCCCCTACTTTGCGCACCTGAAGCAGCACGGCGCGTTCAAAGTCAACGTGGACACCTACGTCACCGCCGACTCCGGCACAGGGGTGGTTCACCAGGCCCCGGCTTTCGGGGAGGAGGACTATCGCGTGTGCCTGGCCTCGGGTGAGAGTACAAGGGGGGTGGGTGCAGGGCTTCTAGAGGGACTAGTGCGCTGCAGCGCGGCATGTGGTGATGACACAGCACCTGTTATTTTTCTGACACCTCTATTGTGAGGGGGCTGGGCCCTCCCTGAGCTCAACCGCTTGAAGACTGAACATGCCGGAGGCATTGCAGCTGCAGCATTCTGGTCCATGGCACGGGCACGTGGTGTTTGCAAGCCGTATGGGCGAGTTCAACCCTGAAGTTCGTATCCCGGGCCCCCCGCCCCGACCCTTCCCCAATCCACAGGTGTCATCTCCAAGGGAGAGGACCTGCCCTGCCCAGTGGATGCCGCTGGACGCTTCACCGCGGAGGTGACCGACTTTGCGGGCCAGTATGTCAAGGTACGGAGTGGTTATCAGTGGATGGCGGGCTTGCACGGGGCCGCAGGGTGATCGCAGCAGGCACACACGCGTGGTGGACAACAGGCACCATCCTGTGCTCATCTTTAGCCCTTCCTGATCCTTCCACGTCCCAAGCCAACCCCTCAACCCCCCCCCCCCCTGCTCTATAAAGGATGCGGACCGTGGCATCATCAAGTGGCTCAAGGAGGCTGGCCGCCTGGTGGATCAGGGCCAGCTGGTGCATTCCTACCCCTTCTGCTGGCGCTCCGACACGCCGCTCCTGTACAAGGCGGTGCCCTCCTGGTTTGTGCGCGTGGAGGAGATCAAGGACCGCCTGCTGGCCAACAACCGGCAGACGTCCTGGGTGCCGGCCTTCGTGCAGGAGAAGCGCTTCCACAACTGGCTGGAGAACGCGCGGGACTGGGCCATCTCGCGCTCCCGCTTCTGGGGCACCCCCCTGCCCATCTGGGTGTCAGAGGACTTCTCCGAGGTCGTGGTCATAGGCTCCATCGCCGAGCTGGAGGCGCGCACTGGCGAGAAGGTGGGCCGGAGCTTTTCAGTTGGGGTGGGCGAGGGGATTTGGGCCGGCTTGCGCTGGTGGCACTGGAGTCGCTGTGTAGGTCGTACGCCCGGTCTGTGAACTTCCTGGTGCGTAGTCGTGGCTGTTGTGGCGATGCTGAACTCAGGGTGTAGGTCCCTACCCCTGCTCCCACGAGTCAGCCCAGCCTTGGATCCCCCCTTTTCCACCTTGCATCGTCCAGTCCACCCATTCATGGAGCCCCCCCTGCCCCGCCTCCCAACCCTCACTCTGCTCAGGTGACGGACCTGCACCGCCACTTCATCGACCAGCTGACCATCCCCGCTGCCGACGGCCGGGGCGTGCTGCGGCGCGTGGACGAAGTCTTTGACTGCTGGTTCGAGTCCGGCAGCATGCCCTACGCCCAGAAGCACTACCCCTTTGAGAACCGGGACACCTTTGCCGCCACCTTCCCCGCGGACTTTGTGTCCGAGGGGCTCGACCAGACCCGGGGCTGGTTCTACACCCTCATGGTCCTCTCCACCGCCCTCTTCGACAAGCCCGCGTTCAAGAACCTGATCTGCAGCGGCCTGGTGTTGGCCGCCGATGGGAAGAAGATGAGCAAGCGCCTGAAGAACTATCCGGTGTGTGGGTGCGGATGGTTGACTGGTTGAGCATGGGGAGGGCAGCTACGGCTTGGATGTCTTGGGTGCGACAGGAACCAGGGAGTGCAAGGCCGTGGGGTCCGGGAAGAGGCCTGTGCACATGGAGTTGGTTCTGGGCATGTCAAGAATGGCAAGTGGGGCTGCTGTCCCGACGTTGTCTCGTCTCTTCCCAGCCTCATGCATGACTCTGCCCTTGGTCGCTCCAGCAATCCCAGCATGGGTCCCTCATCCACCTCCCCCCCTCCCCACCACCGCCACCACGACCCTTCCAGGACCCGATGGAGGTGGTGCACAAGTACGGCGCAGACGCGCTGCGCCTCTACCTGATCAACTCCCCCGTGGTGCGCGCGGAGACGCTCAAGTTCCGCGAGGACGGCGTGTTTGGCGTGGTCAAGGACGTGTTCCTGCCCTGGTACAACGCGTACCGCTTCCTGGTCCAGAACGTGCGGCGGTGGGAGGGCGAGACAGGCGAGGCCTTTAACCCTGCCTCGCCCGACTACGGCGCCGCCTCGGGGTCCACCAATGTGCTGGACCGCTGGATCCGGGCCGCCACGCGCTCGCTGGCAGCCTACGTGCACGCTGAGATGGGCGCCTACCGGCTCTACACCGTGGTCCCGTACCTTGTCCGCTTCATCGATGACCTGACCAACGTGTATGTGCGGCTCAACCGCCGGCGGCTGAAGGGACGCGGCGGCACGCGCGACGCCGGGCAGGCCCTGGCCGTGCTCTTCGATGTCCTGCTGGACGTCTGCTCGATCATGTCCCCCTTCACTCCCTTCTTCACCGAGGCCATGTACGGCAACCTGCGCCGCGCGCTGGGGCCGGACGCGCCCGTCTCCATCCACCTCCGCGACCTGCCCAAGGTACAGAGAGTTGGTGGGGGGGGGTATGGGGTGGTGTGCAGTTCAGTACACAGGGCAAGGCGTGCTTGTGTGTATGTCTTCGATGCCATTCGTGTGTTGTGAACGCGACCCTTTCACCCCTGGAACCTCTCTCAGAGCTTCACACAATCCTGCAGAATCCCAAACCCTTACGACCCCCCCCCCACAAAAAAAACGAAACCCAAATCCGCAGGCCCAGGACGCGCAGGAGGGCGACGCCCAGATTCAGGACAGCGTGCGCCGCATGACGACGGTGGTGGAGCTGGCGCGCACCATCCGCGACCGCCACGCGCGCGGCGTCAAGGTCCCCGTCGCGCGGCTGACGGTGGTGCACCCCGACGCCGACTTCCTGGCCGACATCTCCGGCCCGCTGTCCGCCTACGTGGCGGAGGAGTGCAACGCACGCGCCCTGAAGGTCTGCGCCGACCCGCTGCGCTTCTGCTCGCTGTCCGCCGCGCCGGAGTGGGGCGTGCTGGGCCGGCGCCTGGGCAAGCGCATGGGCGCCGTGGCCGCGGGCGTGGCCGCGCTGACCCAGGACCAGATCCTGGCCTTCGAGCTCGAAGGGGAGGTCGTCGTGGCCGGCGAGCGCCTGGGCCCCGGCGACGTCAAAATCGTACGCAGCTTCCGCGGCGGGGCGGCGCCGGCCGACGGCGGCGCGCCCGCCGAGGACGCCGCGGGCGACGGGGAAGTGCTGGTGGTGCTGGACCTGGCCAGCGACGCGGCGCTGGAGGGCGCGGGCCTGGCGCGCGAGGCGGTCAACCGCGTGCAGCGCCTGCGCAAGAAGGCGGGCCTGCAGGCCGGCGACCCCGTGCAGGTGGTGCTGTGCCTGCGCGGCGCCGGCGAGGCCGAGGAGCGCCTGCGCGCCGCGCTGCGCGCCGAGGCCGACGCCGTGGCCGACGCACTGGGCCGCGCGCTGCGCCTGGAGCAGGTGCCCGCAACCGGCGTGCTGGCGCGGGAGGAGCAGAGCCTACGCGTCGGCGACGCCGATGTCGCCTTCGAGCTCGCGCTCCTGCCCGACCCCTGAGGCGGGGAGGAGGCGCCGGCGGACTGGTTCCTATCCCTCGTGGCAGTGCGATGCCTTGGATGTTGAGGGTGCGGGGGGGGGGGGCAGCGGACTGACGAGGGCAAGGGAGCCCCGCCCTTCGCTGCCCTTCCCTCGCGCTGTGCCTGGTTTCCCAATATTTCCTCGTCCACCCTTGCTTGCCGCGGCGCAAAGAATTAGATTTTCTGTGCTCGCGCGTGCCAGCTTCCAGTGCTTCATTACAAGTTCGATGTACATTCACACCTGACCGCTCGGCGAGACATTGCTCAGCCTGCAAGCGGTGAACGCCCGCAAGAGGGCCAAAACAAGGGGCCGCAGGGCGCGCTGCGTGGAAGGCACCACCTTTCGGATGGTCTCGTGGAGAAGAGGAGGGACAGCGACGGGCCGTGCACGGCGATCAATAAAAAAGGGGAGAGAGCTAGGGGCCATGGGAGCATGCTGAACGGGAGAGCGCCTCATGATGGAATAAAATAAGGGCCGGATAAATAACCAAGGGACGGCCCTTCAAATCTGGGGCGCCGGCCGCAGCGCGCGCTTCACACGGCGAGCGCTTCACACGGCGAGCGCTTCACACGGCGAGCGCTTCACACGGCGAGCGCTTCACATGACGAGCGCTTCACATGACGACGCAGCAGCCCTGGCGGTGGGGCGTGCGCAGCTCCACCTCCTCCGGGATGAGCTCGAAGATGTGGACGGAGTGCAGCCTGCGCACGCCCTTCACGTCCCTCCACTGCACGGCCTCGGCGTCAGGGCGCGGCCCGCGCCACAGCGCCGACTCCTTCAACCGCGGGCGGTGCACGGCGGGGCTGACCAGGGGCGCCAGCATCCGGCCCAGGTCAGGGGAGGACATGGAGGCGCGGAGGAGGGAAGGCCTGCTGGCGAGGACGCGCTCGGAGGGCACGGAGAGGTCGTCGCGCGTGACCGGGGTCTCCTCCTCCCACTCCGTCGCCGGCGCTACGCTGCTGCCGGAGCTGGAGGAGGCGGAGAGGTTGGACAGGTCATCGTCATCCTGGCTGTCGTCGAAGCTGGGGGCGCACCAGGGCGTGAGGCGGGACAGCTGGCAGAACTTGGTGGCGCCGCCGGGCGCGCGCGGCAGGGCCACCACAGTGGGGCCCAGGGCCGCCGCGGCGGCGTCGCTAGGGGTCAGGCTCTGTGTGCTCATACAAAGAGGGTGGACATCGCCATTCCGATGCAGGCCAGGGACACCCAGGGGCTCAGCCGTTCTCCCACGCGTGCAAATTTCCAGAACAGGCCTCGGAACCTATGGGAGGGAGGAGGACGGGTGCGAGGGAGGGTGAGAGTGGCGATCGGAGTGCGGCGCAGTCAAGGAGATACCCCGGCTCAGACCGCACCCCGGCGGGACAATTCCGGACCCCTCCCAGGAACCCCACCCACCCGGTCTTCTGGCTGAGGACGCTGGGGGCTGCAAGGTGTGGGAAGGTGAGGGGGTGGGGAGCACGGTCGGTACTGGGAGCTGGTCGGCCGAGTCGACAGAAGCTGACGGTGAGAAACGACGTGTCCCGCACCTTTGGTCTTGACGAAGGTGCAGGAGCAGACCGCGAGGAGGAGGACAATGCAGAAGGCACGGAAGTCGAACAGGGCAGACATAGTTTCCGGTGCGTGATGCTGATGAGTCGCGCGTGAGCCGCGTGGGTGGCGCCGAGCGTCATGTGCTCCCAGAGTGGTTTTTGGAAGGGTATATTCTTTTTCTCGCTGTCCTCGCGGGCAGCTGGAAGGCGCGGGAATCGAGCTGGGGATCCGGGCAGGAAACCATGCCTATGCTCGATTGAATTTCGATTTCCGGCAACCCACAGCTGGATGCCCATGAGGGCTCCTCGGCTCGCCAAGACACACTTGAATACGCAGGGTTGCTTGTCATCCTGCAATCCAAGGGTGCATTGCGGTGCACAGTCGTCTTCGACCCTCCCGCTTGACCCCCATGCCTCCCTCCAAGTCCAAAGGTAGCCAAGGGTGGACACTGTATTGCGGGTACAGCACCTTTGATGTATTGCGATCAATAAAGTTACATGCATCGGGTATGCCTGCATCGCCCTCCTTGCGCGATCGGCCACCGTGTCATTTTCGAACGCAGGCTACTTGGCCGTGGGCAAGCAGAGCTCCGTGGAAGCCATGGTCGCCGGTGGGTTTGCAGCTGGGGTTTGGCGCGTGGATGCGATCTGATTGATTGCCATGCTTCGGTCGTTGCCAGTCGGGTTCGGACTCCGCCACCCTCCCCTCCCCTCCCAGGTATCACCGAGCCCCTCGGAAAGGAGGGAGCCAGCAAGCGGGCTGGCGACCTCGCCGCGAAAGACACTGCCAAGAAGGCTCGGGGTGACGCATCGGAAGCGATTGTGAAGCCCGAAGTCACCGTCGGATCTGGGCGTCAGGCTGCACAGGCGAGTGTTGCGCTCTGGGGGTGGCTTGCTGGGTGCTGGTCGTTTTCCAGCAGTGGGGGCCTGTAGCGCGGCCTTGGCAATGTAGTCCGCCAAGCACATGGCGTCTAAGAAAGCGGTGCCCATCCCCTCCCCGACCTCTCCGGCACTCAGAACCTGAAACTGAAGGATGAAGCCTCCGCCCTGCCCAGCGCCCGCGAGCAGCGCCTGGCGGTGAAGGAGTATACCAAGGCCGCCTCAGAGGCTGAGGCCCTGGAGCTCACGCGTGGCGATGTCAAGGAGGAGGGCGAGGGCCTGCCCCGTCGCCGCATCGGGGACTTCACGCTGGCCACCCCCAAGGGCATCCACGAGCCGGTGCTCAGCATTGAGGCGGGGATGGGCGTGGAGCTGATCCTGTCCGGTGCGCACGGTCATGCTTCAATATGTTTCGGAGATATTAGGGGTGGAGAGCGTGGGATTTGGGCCGCAAACATGGTCTGAGCCAGCCTCTGATGCCTTGCTCACCCACCCTTCCTTGCCTGCCCCGCGCAGGGGTGGTCTTCCCCGCCGCCGGCCCCACCACCAAGGCCTCCGGCGCCTCCGTGGCGGCGTGCGGTCCCGTGACTGGCTTCCGACTGGAAGTGGATGCGGGGCCTGAGGCACAGGTGGTGCTTTCCACCCCGCTGGCAGAGTACATCCTGCTCAAGCCGGCGCCGGGGTACAAGAAGACGTTTGGGAACCTGTTTGTGCAGGCAGCCCTCGTCCGGGAGGTGAGTGTTCTGGGGCTATGTGTGTGTCGTGGGGGTTAGAATGTGAGTCTCAGGGATATGTAGGACCAGCCCCTCACTTATATAACTCCGTGTAGCATGCGGCCACTGCCACCAAGCAATGCCAGATGAACCCATTGCCCAGCTCGGCTGAACAAACGCATCAAATGCTGCCATTCACTTCCCGGCAGGTGTGCCTGGCGCTGTCTCCAGCCAAGGGGGGTGACCTTGAGGCCAGCCTGGACGAAGTGATCCTCCGCCTGGCCCGCTCCAAGCTGGACCATGGCTACGCGAGCGCCCGGGAGGCCCTGCTCATCAATGCCAAGCTGGTCATCGCCCAGGTGGGAGGGGTGGGGCGCAGGTGCTGGTGTGGGGCAGTGCGCAGGAGGGCTCAGATCCTGCACTTCACCCTTTAGGACCCATGGTCAAAGTTCAACCATGGCCTTGCATGCACCATGCTGCCAGCAACATGCACCCTCCCGTGTCCCCTTTCCAGCTGTCCAAGCTGGATGACGTGAGCGGGCCAAAGGGCCTCAAGTACCTCCTGACCGAGTGCGGGAAGGCGCTGGTGAAGGAGGTCAGTGGACTTTTAGGTTGGGCATCGTTGACTTCTGAAGGGACGGAATCTATGCTTCCGTTCCCCTGCTTGCGGCCAATGCGCCCACCCCACCACTGACCACCCAACCTCTCAACCGCACCCCGCCCCCCTTTTCTGAACAGGCCGCCAGCTACAAGTATGTGGGAGTGCAGCGCCCTGGTGCCACCGGCATCCACATCAGGGACGACACCCGGCCCGAGGCGGCTCCGGCAGACGAGGACGCCCAGACCCTGGCCGACGCCGACTTTGCGCGCCAGCTGCAGGCCCAGATGGACGCCACCGCCGCGCGCGCGGCGCGGGGCGGCGCCAAGTCGCGCGGCCCCGCCTATGTCCAGGTGTCGGCGGAGGAGATTGCGAATGACTACCCCGCGCCCCTGGCCTACGCCAAGGAGGAGGAGGAGGTGGACGAGCTGCTGCTGGCGGACGAGGAGGAGCTGGGGGGCGGGGCGGACCCGGAGACCCTCCCGCGTCGCCTGCTCACGGACTTCAGCGTGTACAATGCCGAGGGGTGGCTGGCCTCCCTGGAGCTGCTCCCCATGTGGGCCGGCGTGGACCCGAGCGTGGAGCTGTACGCCTCGGGTGTGGTGCTCGAGGACGACGGCGACTTCTCCGGGGGCCAGGCCCTGCAGGAGGAAAGCGCAGCGCCGGTCGATGAGGGCGCTGGCGGGTCGTCCTCCGCCGCGCCGCCGGCCGAGGATGCCGCTGGCGGGTCGTCCTCCGCCACGCCGCCGGCTGAGGATGCCGCTGGCGTGCGCATGTGCCTGTCTCAGGTCAAGGACTGGGTTGTGGAGATGGGGCCCGACATGCTCCTCATCTCCCTGCGCACCGACGTCGCCTGGTGAGGCTGCTGGAAGGGGGGGAGTGTGGGGGGGTTGAAGGGGCGGAGGTGGCTGCTGGACAGCAGGGACTCCGACTTTCACCCTTTTTGAGGGGCCCTTCAGTCCTGCCTCCCAACCCGAGCGTCGGCCTACCCCACCTGCCATGGATTCATGACAGTCTTGTCAGCACATGAAACTCCTCACAAAACAGAGAGCGCCAGCCTGCCAAGCCTTTTGCTCCACCCCTCCACCCCCCACTCCTCCCCACGCCCCCACACTCCCAGGTACCGCCTGTCGGTCCCCGCGGCCAAGTACGCGCCCTGGTTCCGTCCGGTGCTGCAGACCGCGCGCCTGGCGGCGCGCGTGCTGACCTGGCTGAGCGAGGAGAGCCGCGCCTCCAAGCTCTCCTTCAACGACGTGGTCAAGCGCCTGGTGGCCTCGCCGGACACCGCGCTGGCGCTGTTCAAGAAGCCCGAGGCTGTGGAGCGCTACCTGTTGGTGCACGGCGCCATCCTGCTCAACCAGTTTGCGGCCTGGCCCGTGGCGGCGGTGCGCAAGAGCGCCTTTGCCACCACGCTGCGCGCGCACATGCAGGACGTGCGCCACAGCAAGCTATACCGTGCGGCGGCCAAGCCGGCGCGGTCGGGCGCGGCCGTCAACCGCAACCCCATGAAGGTGGGCGGGGGGAAGGGTGGGGTGTGTGTGTGCGTGCGTGTGGCTGTCCTGGTGTGGGCCGCCAAGGCATGCGTCGAATCATCCCGAGGGCAACAGCATCCTGCACAGCGACGCCCACCCGTCGCTCAGTTCCCCGCCTCTGGCGCCGCCTCGTGCCGGATCTCCCAGACCACCCCCTCCCCCCCCCATCTCACAGGACCGCGCGGCGGGGGGCCGGTCCAAGCCCATGACCGCCACGGCCACCACCATGGTGAGGGCGGTGTGGCAGAGCTACTTCACCGTGGCCGGCGCGGGCGCGCTGGTGGCCGAGGCCGGCGAGGTGGAGGCCGGCGAGCAGCAGGCCCAGGCGGGGGTGGTGGCGCGGGAGGTGGAGGAGGACGAGAATGCAGACGAGGGCGAGGAGGACGCGCAGGAGAGCGCGCTGGCGGCCGTGCCCGCGGTCCCCGTGGCCGTCGCGAAGATGGCCGGCGGCGCCCACGCGCGACGCGCGGCCCCCGCCGCCGCCGTCGTCGCCTGGACCGGCGAGGCCCTGCGCACGGAGGGCGGGTGCACCTTCTACCCCGGCGCGCGCGTGGGCGACCTGGAGCTGCGCCTGGGTGACGCCGTGGCGCTGGGCCCGCCCGTCGACGAGGACGAGGCGGTGTCCGGGGACGAAGGGCAGGACGCCGCGCCCCGCCTGCCCCAGCTGGGCCTGGTGCAGGCGCTGTGGCAGCGCAAAGGAGGGAAGGGCGGCGACGCGGAGGTGCAGGTCCGCCTGCTCGTGCGCGGACACGAGACGGTGCTGGGCGACGCCGCTTCCACCGCCGAGCTCTTCCTCGCCACGGGTCACGAGACCAGGTCTGCGAGTGTGTGCATTTTAGGAAGGGGTGAATAGAGAAGTGCTTTGTGTGTGTGTGAGGGGGATGGTGGTCAGGATGTGTATGCCGTAATCCATGTGCAAGGAGACGCAGCGTCGTCCGACGATTTTATTGCGGCCCAGGCTCTGGCCACCACGACGCACCACCCCTGAGATCCCCCCTTCCTAGTCGCCGTCTCTCGCAGCACCCCTTTGGGCAACAACCTCACTTGTCCCCGCCCGCGCCGCAACGCCCCCCCCCCACCAGGCCGCTGGCCAGCGTGGCGGCGCTGGTGTCGGCCAGCCGGCTCGAGCGCGCCTGGGACCAGAAGCGCCGCGGCGAATACTTCCGCGCCGACGAGGAGCTGCGCCAGGCCAACGCCGCCGCGGCGGCGGAGGGCGCGCCCCTCACCCACTTCTGGAGGCGGCAGTACGTGCCGGAGGAGGGCATATTCCGCGACGCCCCCGCCGACCTCCAGCTCGGCAGCCGCCTGCCCGACCCTCAGATCCCCGAGACCGGGGTGCAGGTGCAGGGCAAGGGCTTCCGCAAGGATGGCGTGCGCTACCTCCCCGGCGACTTCCTCTTCCTGGGGCCGGAGGTGTTTGACGCCGTGGAGGGCGCGCGCAGCATCGTGCAGCTGCCGGAGTACCTCTCCAACTCCCGCTTCCACAAGGTGACTTCCTCTTGCTGGGGGGGAGGATGGGGGGGGAGGAGGTGTTTCTCGGCCATGGGGGAGGATTTGTAAGAGGCGAATTCAAAGAGCCTGCTGCTGTGGAGGGGTGCCAGGGCATGGATGAGGACTGGCTCGGTGGGAGGGCATGCACAAGAGGCCTGCAGACTGGCATGCCGTCGTGCAGGTCTGGGGGTGCTGCCAAAGGTAGTCTCGGGTCGTGCATGTCACTCTGCCAGGGCACTCCCTCCACTTGTTGTTCCCCACTTTCCACCGATGCAGGGTTCCCACGTGGGCCTGCGTGCCTGGGGCATCGCCCAGCTGATCGGCGTGGAGAGCAGCGGCAAGGGCAAGGGCGCCGCCTGCACCCTCACCGTCCGCCGCTTCTACCGCCCCGAGGACATCCATGAGGACAAGGCTTACGAGGCACCCTCCTTCCACGCGGTGAGCTGGGATGGGGACCCTGCATGGCGCGCTGGCAGGGGCTCGTGTGTGGAAACGGCCTAGAATCTGGCCAGTTTCGACTCCAGCCGCTGCACACTGCCCTCAAACAACCGCCCCTTTCCCGCTCCCACAGGTGTATGCTTCCTCCGAGGAGGTGGAGGTGGAGGTGGTCGACGTCCAGGGGCCGTGCACCGTGGGCCCCCCGGGCAGCGAGCTGTCCGTGTCGTCCTTTGAGTGCATCGGCACCTACAACCGCGCCACCGGGGAGTTTGGGCCGGTGCCGGAGGACCTGAAGCAGGCCAAGGGTGGGTACGGTGTGGGTTGGGAAGGTTGTTGGGGAGGGGCTCGGATGTCTAGGGGATTGGGAGCAGACTCGACATGCCAAGGAATGTGCGAGGGACTTTGTCATTTTGGGGGGGGCGAACTCGGGTACTGGTCCTGTCCTCTTCCAACGGGAATCAAGTGTGTGCCCGTCGAGCGGAAGCTCTTGGTGTTTTGAGGGCACCATGTGGCCCAAACCCCTCCTGCCCAGGCCAAGGCGCCGTTTGCCAAGCAGGGCATGCCGAAAGCTCTGGCCCACAACTCCCGACCCTTCCTCTGAACCTCCCTGTCCCAAAAACAACCCCTCTCACCCAGGCTCTGCTTCCGATGCCTCCAACGCGGCCCCCGCCTCCGCCAAGGCCGCGGACAAGGGCAAGGCGGCGGTGGACGCCTTCCCCGGCGACGACGGCGTGTCGCTGGCCAGCATGGACATCTTCGCCGGCTGCGGCGGGCTGTCAGAGGGCATGCACCAGGCTGGGGCCGCCCACGCGCGCTGGGCCATCGAGTACGAGCGCCCGGCGGCGGAGGCCTTCCGCCTGAACAACCCGCGCGCCGCGACCTTCTGCGCCAACTGCAATGTGCTCCTGCACGCCGCCATGGTCAAGGGCGGCGGCGCCGACGACTGCCAGGCCAGCCCCGAGGCGGTGGCCGAGAGCGAAGCCCTGCCCGCCGACCAGGTGGCGGCGCTGCCGTTGCCGGGCGAGGTGGACTTCATCTGCGGCGGCCCGCCCTGCCAGGGCTACTCCGGCATGAATCGCTTCAACAAGGGCAACTGGTCCATGGTCCAGAACTCCATGGTCATGAGCTTCCTGTCCTACGCCGACTACTACCGCCCCCGCTACTTCCTGCTGGAGAACGTGAGGAACTTTGTCAGCCACAACAAGTCCTTCACCTTCCGCCTCACCCTGCGCTGCCTGCTGGACATGGGGTACCAGGTGCGTGATGGGGGCAGGGTGGGTGGTGGTTTGGATGCAATGGGGAGGGTGGCGGACCATGGCAGGTGAGTGATGATGGGCCCAAGTCCCGTGGCAGGGGAGAGGGGGTCCAAGGGCGCCAGCTTAGATTGCAATCCAGAGCATGCTGAGTGCTGGACAGGTTGGACTGCGCGCCTCCTGGACGGCGGCCGTGCCCATGATCATTCACACGCCAAGCTCCACACGCCGGAGCTGGTGCTCAATCCGCCGGGTCCCCCACCCTCGAGCCGCTCATACCCACCCCTCTCCACCACCACAGGTTCGCTTTGGCGTGCTCAACGCCGGCAACTTTGGCGTGGCCCAGTCCCGCAAGAGGACTTTCATCTGGGCTGCGGCGCCCGGAGAGGGCCTGCCCGACTGGCCCCGCCTGATGCACGCATTCCGCACCCCCCAGCTCACCATCAACCTGCCCAATGGCGTGCAGTATACCGCCGTACCACAGACGGTGAGAGGGAACGGCGTGAAGGCGGGGGGTTGGCCGGCGGCGGGCGGTCGCGCATGTGGGATGAAACGGAGGCATGCCTGTGCCTTCTGGTTGTTGGGAAAGTGATTGGAACACTTGTTGGAAAATGGATGTGCTCCGTCTCAACTGTTGGCAGCACGCCTGATCCTTGAAGTTCAATCTATTTCTCACACAAGGGCATACCACTGCACTCGCGCATGTGCAGCCCAAAATCCGGTTGACCTGTGTCCTCTCCATCATGCACATTGCACGCCCACACCTCAGCATGCCCCTCCCGCACCCCCAAGGGCTTCACTCTCTGACGCTCAAACACTCATCCCGCCTCGCCAGGTGGGCGCCCCCCTGCGCCCTGTCACGGTGCGCGATGCCATCAGCGACCTTCCTGTCATTGCCAACGGGCACGACGTGGAGGAGATGGAGTACCAGGGGGAGCCGGTGAGGAGCAGGGGCTCGTGGGGAGGGGCGGGCGAGTTGTGAGGGAGTTCGGTGGTAGATATTGACTCGGTCGGTCTGGTGGAAAGAGATGGGGCGCCTCTGCTTGCTGCGTTTGAGCCTGGCTGCCTCTCATGCCAGCCGGGTGTGATCGCGGCTACCAGCTCAGCAGGCGTGCATCCCTTTTCTGCCAGGTTTCGGCCTTCCAGCGGGCTGTTCGTGGCGGCTGCCCGGCGCTTTACGACCACATCTCCAAGAACATGAACGAGCTCAATCTAGAGCGCTGCCGGTGCGCAAGAAGGACTTGAGTCTGGGAAGGTGGATGCTTTGCTGGGTGGATGCCTCTGGTCCGACTTTGGCTGGCAAAGCGGCATCTGCATGATGCCTCAGCGCTCAGGCAGAGAGTCGAAGCCCTGACTGCTACAGCAGGGAAAACTTCATAAGAATCTAAGATGATGTGGCCTCCTTCTCCTCACTCGCCGCAGCTGCATCCCCAAGGGCGTCCCGGGTGCTGACTGGCGTGTCTTGGAGGAGATCGTGAAGAGCGACCCCTCGCGCGAGAAGTTCAATGTGAGCTTGCGATTGCCTGCTGCCATTGCCTGCCGCCTATCAGGTCAGCCATCCACTCCAGCGTTGTTCCTGGCAAACACCTCACCCCTCCAAGCCCCTTCACCCAATCATCAGGGCCAACCCCTGGTGCCCTGGTGCCTGCCCAACACCGCCGACCGCCACAACGGCTGGCGTGGGCTGTTTGGGCGCCTGGACCCACGCGGCCACTTCCCCACCTCCACCACTGACCCCCAGCCCATGGGCAAGGTGGGCCAGGTGTTCCACCCTACCCAGGATCGCATCGTCAGCGTGAGGGAGTGCGCGCGCGCCCAGGGTGAGGCCGAGGAGGTGGGGGTATTGGAGGGTGGACCGTTTGCACCTGGGGCGGGCGGATCCGGAAGGCACATCCGTGTCTGACTGGGGATTTCGGGTGCATGAAGCCACGGGAACGTACCCTGTCGCTGGCGTCGGCGCATCGCACTGCCTGAGCCCTACACCAGCATTCCTTGCATTGTGCTCGCATGCGCCAAAGGCTCAGCATCATCGGCGCTACCAGACCGGATTCGTACTGTACCTCGGCACGCACCGAGACTTCACCTTGGAGTCCGTGACTCCCGATCGCAGGCTTTCCGGACAAGCATCGCTTCTACGGCAACGTGCATAACAAGCATCGTCAGGTCGGAAACGCGGTGCCACCGCCACTGGCAGCGGCGCTGGGTCGTCAGCTGCGCAAGGTGAGGATTCGGTGCGATGTGCGATGTCCGCGCGCCGTCGCGCGCCGTGACCAGGTGTCAACCCTGGGCTGCCACGAACCCCACCCTTTTGGTACATCCTCTCCATCGAGTCGAATCAGGTCAACAATGTTGGATTTCGCCTGCGCAGAAACTGGAGGAGAAGCTGGAGAGGGGCCGGGCGTAGATGGAGCCCCCCAAATCTAAGAGGATCATACCGGGAGCCTGGTGGATTCTGCAGGACGCAGGGGAGCGAGGTGCCCGCAGGTGCGAGTCCAGAGCACCTTCAGCCCCAAGCTGGCCAGTCTGAATGCAGGAAGGACGCTGCCGACGTTGAGTTTTTGCTAGATGGCAAGGCGTGCAGGATGCTATGTAACCTGGTACCCTGGTTGCCAAGATTCAAGGGCTGGTCAGGCGATGGACGCATCCTTAGCGTCAGACGACATCGGTCATCACCAATGAAATGCAGTGGCATCCTTGAAGGGTAAGAAATCCCTGCATGCCATGCGGGGATGCCGTGCCCATAGTCATATCGGTGGGTGCCGCACTCGGGTGCCGGGGTCCGGAGTGCCTCGAATCGCAAAGCATGGCCGAAGCCAGGACACCATCCTTCGGCATGAGAGTTCCGCTTGAGGAGAGTGACATGATGTCCTCGCAGCCAGTGAATTACTTCATGCAGCAAGGATGATTGCCGAGCAGCTTCGCATCGCCACCCTACGGTAGCTGGCTTCTGCTCAAACGTCGCTTTCGACCATGTGTGGCTGAGTCTGGGGCGGGGGTTGGAAGTCACATTCGAGAGCCCAGCGCTTCCATTGAGAGCCTTCTTGCCACTCAATTATTAGTCTGGCGGGCTTAGGCCTGGGGAGGGTACGGGAATACGGTCGCGTGGTCTAAGCTCACGTGCGTCAGCCTTCCTAATAGATGGGCAAACCTGGTCACGTGGACCCAAGGTCACTGGGTCCGTCCCCATTATGAAATGCCGTCCAAACGCCTTCGAGGCCCCCGAAAGTAGAGTCATACGCCCAGGTGTTAATAAAGAAGCCCATCGTACAAGCGTTGGGCCCAAAGCATGCCTATCCCAGCGCCTGAGCCCTGTTCAGGCACAGATTCGCTCTTTTGGTCGGACCCGGATTTGACACGCGTGGCATGGGAAGGGGTCGGCGAATCCCAGTATACGCTTGGGGCCCCCCGAGCCTTTACTGGCCAGGCAGATGTGGTGGTTCCCAACAATAACCCAGCTTCATTACACCTTTTGAGGGCTTTCGGCACCTGCTTGGGCGCCACTCAGTCTGGAATCATGGCAGGTAGCAAACGGCGTCAGCCCCCTCGTCAGGCCCGTCGCACCTTGAGCTTTTCCAGCCTGTTTTGCCTGGCGCCCCCCCGCACCGTGGACAGTGGCATCCAACATGCGGAAATCCAGGCACCCGAGGCTGTGCCCGTGTCCAAGCCCGGAGTAATGAGGGCCGCGGCTACGGCGGCTCGGCCCCTGCCTCCCCCCCCGTCGGTGGCCTTGGAATCTTACTTGGGCCGGGAGAAGCTCGCTCGCGATGCGGTGCTGGCCGATGCCACCATCTGCCGTCCCTCCAAGGACGCCGAGTCCCTGCACGAATCCTCCAGCTGCTGCGGCCCCCCGGCCCCGTCGGGGGCCAACTTCGGGGAGGAGTGCGACATGGGCCCCGCGGCAGGGGCCTGGACCTCCTCCGACACCGCCTCCCTCTCCGGGCCCTACACCCCGGACGGCCGCCCGGCCCAGGCCAAGCCCTCCATCGCCTCCAGCCCCGAGTTCACCGCCAGCTCCAGCTCTGTGGATGAGGGCGCGCCGGGGGCCTCGGCCCATGCGCGCAGCCTCTCCATCCCCACGCCCCCGGACTCCCCGGCCTGGGGCGAGCAGCGCGAGTTCAGCCTGGGCCGCAAGCTCACCGTCCTGCGCAGCCACCCGGCGGTGGTGGTGTTGGCGGACGACCCCGACTCCCCCCAGTCGGCCGACGGCGAGGGCGGCGGCATCGTGCAGCGGCGGCTGTCCCAGGTGGTGGCTGGCCACCACGTCCACTTCACCAAGATCAAGCGGCAGATGGGCAACGTGCATGGTGCGGAGGAGAGGGGTGGCGATGGTTTGGCCCCGTCTCAACTGTCTTTGCACGGACGTGGGGAAGGGTGTGTGCATCTTTGCGCCCTGCTTTGCTTCTCTGGGGGACACCATGCATGGGCAACGCCCTCCTCCCTTCCTGAGCTGCCACCCTGGCTTCTTTGCACCAGAGGAGTAGCGATTCAAGCTGCCGCGCATACCTCACACTCCCCCCCCCAAAAAACCTTCTGCAGCGCCTCCCGAGGACCTGCTCACTCTGATGGCACGGAAGGTCTTCACACGGCAGAACTGCTCCTTCAACCAGGTGAGAGGGTCGTGTGGCCCCCTACTCAGTCACACCCTCTGCCTCAGTCGCGTCATGAAACATTCCTTACCTCTCCACATCTCCCATCAATGCGCCCCCGCCCCCCCCCCCCTCCCTCCCTCGCTCAGATGACGAGCATGGGTGAGTTGTCTGACCTGGCGGCGGAGACCTCCATGCCCACGCCCAGCAGCCGGTGTGTGGGGGCGCCCCCCACCAACGCAGCCTTGGCAGCAGCAGCCCAGCAGCTGGCGTCACATGCCACCGTGCACACCGCGTCGCTGTCCTGCATGCACCCATCGCTCCCACCCATCCGGACGCGGCTGGCGGAGCGACGACACACGAGCCCCCTGGCGTGAGGGCGCACTGGCAGCCTGGGTCCACCACGCCCTCCCCTCCCCAAGCCCCCCCTCCCAATCACTCCTCACCACCCAACTCTGTCGGACCAAAACTGCTGTGCACGTTGAAGTTGGCCGATACACGGCCGGCCCTCCCCATCGGGACGGTTTAGTAAGCACCCACATACCCCATCGACTCCTGTCGTCCTGACGCTGTCACCCCTCCTCCCTCCCCCCATTCGTCACTGCTTGTAGTTCTCCACTCTTTCGTCCCCTTTTTTGCCACACCGCTACGCAAAGCCGAACCTGAAGGCCGGCGTGGCACCCTGGTCCGGGGAGGTGAGGTTGGACGATTCTCCCATTCTCCCCTCCCGGAACATTGAAGAAAGCTTGTGTGTGGCCTGCAGGAGTGTGTTTGGCCAGAGGACTCATAATAGGACCCCTTTGCAAGCACTGCCTCGGCAGGCCCCAGCGCTTCCAGCAGCCTGCCTAACCCACATTTGTCAGATACATCTCCCACCCCCCAAAGAAACTCCACTACAGCACATTTGTAATTAGCATCTGGTTCTTTGCTATCCAGCCAAGGAGCCGACAGGACAACAGGGGAGAGCCCAGGGGCCGGCCGGGACTGAGCCGTGAGGTCGACAGGTGCTCTCTTCACCACCCATCGCTCCAGCAAAAGCCCTGCCCAAAGCCCATTCAGCTGCGCATGCACCTGTGCTCGACTCAGCTGCTCTGCCTCCAGTGCGGCAGAGTCGGCCAGCGCTTGGGGCCTCACTTCCTTCAGCGCGGCGAGGAAGTCGTCGTGCAGGGAGGCCCGCCGCTCGTCGCCCTCCAGCCCGGACACCAGGGCGGGGTTCCGGGAGGAAAGGAAGGCCAGGACGTGCCGCAGATTCGCAGTGCTCACGTAGTTTTGGGTGACGGCTATGCTCTCCTGCGGTCATGGCATGCAAGGGCACGGGGTGTTGAGGCCTGGGGCTGGTGCTGAAGGCCATGTGGTTTGACCTTGGTATTGGCCCGCATCCACCGCAGGTGGTGCCCAGTGCAGTACCAGCCCAGTCACACAGCATGGGACCCCACACACTCAGCACATTCCGCCCGGCTTCCCACCTCAAGGTTGATGGCCAGGTGCCACCACTGGCGGGGAACGAAGAGCACCTCGCCGGGGCGGACCACGCACTCCGCCGGCGCCCGCCCCCCCGCCGCGCGGTGTTCGTAGAAGGAGAGAAACCACTCGGTCAGGGACACGGGCGAGGCCACATCGGCGCCGTCGGCGGAGGGCCGCACGCCCGGCGGGGTGGCGTGGGGCGGGTACATGACCCACTTCTTGGAGCCCCGCACCACGGCGTTCCAGGCGCAGGTCGCGTTGGGGTCCTGGTGGAAGGTGGACCCGCTGCGGGCAGGGCCGACGATCAGCCAGCGGTGGTCCGGCCGGCCGGGGCCCAGGACCGCAAAGAGGTCCTCGCTGAATACCTCGGGCACCTGGATGGATGTGTGTGGTGGTGGGGAGGGTTTTGAGGCCGGGAGGAGGATGGGTATCGAAGAGGCACGTAAGCCCCAGCATCTGCAGTGGCAGCAGGAGTGCCTGTGCTGGGCTGCAGCCGCCGCCAGCCCGGGCAGAGACCCCCCCCCCATGTGCACATGCCGGCACCTGGTAGTCGGCACCCAGGTCGGGGCAGCGCTCCGCAAACCCCTTGTCAAAGAGGTAGAGCGGCAGCTCGTCACTCTGGGCGTCGGCGTAGGCGCAGTACCCCTCGAACGACATGGGCGCGTCCCCGACGAGCACGCTGTGCCCGGCCAACTTCTCCGCCAGATACTCCCTGCCCCACTTCTGCATGGCCGGCCACTTGGTGACCTGAACATGTACAAGGGGTTGAGAGTGAGGATGGTGGAGGTCGGGTGCCATCGCTCCGTGCCCTGGGACATGGGGTGGCGTCAGAGGCAGGGCCTGGTCCCACCCCAGGCACACGGCGGTCCTCCACACCCCTCCCCACGATACGGCGCTCACCACATCTGTGAGGATGACCGGGCGGTTGGGCAGCTCGTACTCCTCCCGGAACTGCTGCAGGGTGAGGCCAGACCTGCGCGGCACGTTCTCCGTTTCCAGCCAGGCGCTGTCGATCGCCATGTGGGCGCAGAGCCAGGAGCGGTACAGGAACTCAGAGTGAAAGCCCCTGGGGTTCAGGGGGCGCGGCGGCGCGTAAGGCCTGTGCCCAGGGCAGACATGCCAGGCGTATGTTTCCTTCCAGCTGTCGCGGAAGGTCCATGCATCGCCCAGCGTCTACAGGAGGTGGGTAGTTCAAAGCCACAGGCAGTGACAAGCGACAGACGCCGACGACCGAACAGTGGCATGAACATGAGCCTGACCACCACGAGAGCACCCTCAGCGACGCCCTCCACCCACCTCTAGCACTAGGCCCTTCCAGAGCTCGTTGTGAGCAGTGTAGAAGTAGAGGCACCGGCTTACTGCCGCCAATTGCGCGAGGTAGCGACCCGAGAGGAGGTGCAATACATCAATAATGCACTCATCATTCAGAACCGCTAGGCTGCCCAGACCCTCGGCTCTGCAGTCCCTTTTGGCCCTCTTGGTGGCAGGCTGTCCCTCACACATCCCCGGAAGAGGGGTGGTGCACGTAAGTCAGCCCCCCCTCAGGCCCAAGACAGCTGTGTCCAAATGTACAAAGTAATGTGCCAGTATCGAGCGTGTATCGGCTGCAGGCTGGCAATGCGACGGTAAGAGGGAGCCGTGGGAACGTCGTCACCATGCATGTGGACGTCTTCGTGGCGCGACTCACGCATAGCACGGTTGCGGGTTCCGAGATTATCTCGTCCGAGCATTAGGCCGGTGCTCTTCCAACAGGATTTTCGAGGATCAGAGGAGCGACCGAGGAAGCTGGCGTGGAGTCCTTGCCCCTCCGCACGGTGAGGAATCCCTAAAGGGAGTGGCACGAGACCCTTCACAGGTTGGCTGATAGCCAGCACCACTGCTCGTACGACTCTAATGTTCGGAGCATTCAAACGCTCAATCTACCATACTCCAATATGTAGGTAGAAGTCTTCATATTTTGACTCAGTAGCCATGCCCGAGACGCAGCTGCGGGTGGCCATGGCCTGCGAGGTGAGGTTTCGTGCTGGTACACGTCCGGGTGCGGCCTGCGAGTGATAGCGATCGTTCTGTGGATTACGTTTGACATCCCAATATGCAATCAGGGGTGTGCGGGAGCGGTGCGGCGTGTCCTGGGCAATCTGGAGGGTGTGGAAAAGGTGGACATCGACCTGGCAAAGCAAAAGGTGACCGTGCTGGGCAGCGCGGATCCCAACACGGTGAAGGAGACGGTTGCCAAGTCTGGAAAAAAGACGGAGTTCTGGGCCTGACACATTCGGATATGAGGCACCTGGTAGGCAGGAGATTTGGTTCATGACCTGGCGTGGCAAGGACTGTCCCGCAGCCCGCAGGGTGATGGATGCTGCGCCAGCACATCATGTGGATGCTGTATTCCTTGCCTACCTCCAGACAGCATTCAGTGGCATCCTGACTGGTGCTGTAGTGCAGTATTGATGATGTTCATGACACTCAGGAATACGCCAGACTGTGCAAGCCATATTCAGATGCTTGATGAATTCATTGGCAGACTCAACGGGCGGCGACAGCTATGTTACCGGCACTGATTTGCCATACTAGCACCTATAGCAACTGTCCAACTTGAATTATGGAATGTCGCGCTGCCGGGCTACCTCCCTTGGAATCTGATACGCAGCTGGCTGCTTCGAGTTGAACCAAATTGCTGTCATCATACAAACGGGAACGTGGAGGCGCACGTCGCAAAGTAAACCAGCCCATCGCATGTAAAGACTGCGATGAAGGATTTCTCGGGGCCATGGACGGACATCGGGGTCGCGGCGGCGTGTTTCGGCAGCCTGCTCCTCTACAATGGGTGGTATTTCGGGAGGCGGGTGCTGGCGGGCGTGCACCAGACCATCCACATCCGGAGAGCCTGGGTGGAGGAAACCATGAACTCCCCTGACGACAGCCTGTTGGTCGTGCAGACACTGCGAAACCTGATCATAGCAGGTGAGTAGGGTGAGGGAGGAGGCGGCAGCTGTCACTAGGTCAGGCCACACCCTCCGTGAATGCCCCTGCCGTCCCACACTCCTCATCTCTTCCACCCCCCTGTTCCAGCCACCCTCATGGTCACGGGGCTGGCCCAGATCTTGGGGCGCTTGGTTGCAATCATCACCAAGGACAGCGCTCCGGAGCCCAGAGGCCATGAGTGGGTTAGCACACAGACCAAGCTGACGCTGGCGCTAGCCGTCCTCTTCCTGGCCCTGGTCATGCTCTCCCTCAGCGTCCGACTGGCAGTGCACCTGGTAGGGAGGGCGCCGCCGTGGGCCGCCTGCATGTGCGATGTCACACTCGCCGGGTGTGTTGGGCCCTGCTGCGGGCTCATGAATCTGTGGCGCCCCACAACCTGCCAATACACCGGCCAGCTCTCGGTGCAAGCTGGCTTGGACTCTGCGACTGGCCCATGCTGCAATCCTGGTGCCACCCCACCTCCTTCTGTGAAGTCAAGACACATCCTGCTCGCTGTCGTTTGTCACGTGCAGTCATCCTGGGCCCCCACCCCACCCCGCCCCCCAGGGCTTCATGATACCGCTGAAGAGCAGGCGACGGCACTCCAACGCCCTGCGCAGCGACATCCAGACCTCGATGCACTCCTGCACCCTCTACTTCTCTGCCGGGCTGCGCATGTTGGTGCTGTCCCTGCCCATCATGGGCTGGGTGGCGGGGAACCCCGCCCTCATCTCCTCCACCCTCCTGGTGCTGGCGCTGTCCTGGCACGTGGATTCGGGGTCCAAGGAGGCAGAGGATCTTGAGGGCGAGGAGAGCATGGCCCAGTGTCTCATGGGGGAGGGGGCATGAACTGAGGGGTGTTCGAACCATCTGTCGACGGTTTTGCTCCCTGGAGCGCTCTTCCAGGGCGGAGCAGGGTCTCATGGCCTTGGCTGCTGCCTGGAAAGCCTTCTCTCATCAAACACTATCGGCACCCAAACATCGCCCTCTGAGCCAGCAAGCGCTTGCGCTTCGTTCCACATGGCTACAAAACTCGGCTGCATTCTTCTTGCAAGGTGCCTCCTGCATTTCTCCCATGACCTGTGCATAGCTGCAGGTGGAGCCAATGCCACTGTGAGCAGCAAGTGACCCAAGTGGGGTGGAGGACTGCTCGTTGCTGCAAAGTGAATCATTTGAGGATCCAGGGGCTCATGCGGGGGCAGGGCCACCTCGGCCATCGCTGTTTGCCGGCTCCCGGCGCAACAATGTCCCAGGCCTGGTGAGCGCTGGCGAGCTCAACCTATGTCCAGGCAGAGTTCCAGAGACTGGCACCAAAGCATGCGGAGGCTTGGCCTGCATCGGTGAGCATTGCCCCCCGGGGGTCAAGGTCACATCGCCAGCCAGCCTGCCGCGTCCGCCCACCCCTTTGTCAGGCAGTTGCCGGCCGTTCGTCGAGGGTGGAGTCACCCTGGAGCAGGTCCAGCACCGCGGCGCGCAGGCCTCGGATGGCCGCCCTCTCCTTCTCCAGCAAAGCATCGGTACCCAGCACAGTGGCCCCTGAGTCCTCCCCGAGCCACCGCTGGGCGGTGCGCAGCGCGCCCTGCAGCGTGGCCTGCGCCTCTCCGGCCTGCGCCTCTCCGGCCTGCGCGCCAGCGCCCCCCTCCGCGGCCAGCTGCGCCCTGCCCAGCGCCACGCTGGCGGAGAGGGCGGCGATGCGCGTGGTCCACACCCTGCGCCAGCGCGCCAGGCCCTCAAGCTCCGTTTCCCGCGCCCACAGCCGGCGCCAGAGGCCCGGCGCCTCCGCCGCCTCGCGCTCCGCGGCCGCCAGCAGCGGCCCCGTGATCCCCGCCGCCTCCCGCGCCAGCGCCAGCGCCTCGCGCCGCGCGGCCCACACCGCGGCCGGGTCCTCCAGCCCCGCGGCGCGGTGCCCTGCCGCGCCGGCGCACAGGCCCAGCGCCCGGGCCACGCCCAGGCCCTCCCGTCGGCCGCCGGCCTCGCGCTCGGCGGCCTCCAGCACGGCCGCCGCCAGCGCGCGCGCGGCGTCGGGGAAGCCGCGCGCCTGGAGCGAGGCCGCGCGCTCCTCGGCCGCGCGGCACAGCCCCGGAAGTGCGGCGGGCGGAGCGCTGCTCAGGGCCTCTACGCACGCAACCAGGTGGCGCCCCGCCTCCTCGAGCAGTGCGGTGCTTGCCTCCCCCCCACCGCCGCCCTCCCCCGCCGCTGCGCGCAGGAGCCACTCCGCCAGCCGCCCGGCACGGCGCAGGCCCGCGGGCTGCAGCGGGCGCGGCTGCGTCTCCACCACCAGGCGCAGCGACCGGAGCGCATCGCGCGCCAGCCCCGCGGCGTGCTGCGTCTCCGCCAGCAGCGCGCCGGTGGTCAGCGTGTCCACGTGCGCGGCGCCCAGGCCGCGCCGCCGCACCTCCAGCGCCTGGGCCAGGCAGGCCTGGGCGGGGGCCCAGGCGCCGCGCTGGAAGTGCAGCACGCCCAGCGTGTGCAGTGCGGCGCTCACCCGCACGTCCTCCGTGCCGTAGGCCTCGATCAGTAGGGCCACCGCCTCGCGGTACAGCGGCTCCGCGGCCGCCAGCTCGCCGCGCAGGCGCAGCAGCTCCGCCAGGTTGTGGCTTGCGGAGCCGACGTGGGGGTCGCGTGGGCCGAAGCCCTCGCGCGCCATCTCCAGAGCGCGGCGCAGGTACCGCCCAGCTTCCTCTAGCTGGCCCTGGGGGGGGGAGTGGGGGAGGAGGCAGTACGTGTCGTGTGTTGATAGCGTTGGCTTGTATCTTCTGGCCAGGAGGGAGCGCAGGCGCAAATAGGGCACCACAGACAGCAACCTCTCTACAGAAAGATCAGAAAACCACGCAACCAACGAGCTGTTCAACCCACCTGCGCAGCCAGGTTCCGTCCCATGTCAGTGTAGATCCTCCACTGTGCCGTTGCATCGTTGCTGGGCCCGTCGGCGGACGGGGGGGGACGCAGGGGCCGCAGGGGGCGGGAGGGGCCTCGGAGTGGGACACCTGGACCAAGGCGCTCGAGGCCAGCACCGCTGTGCCGAGGTACGCGAGGTACCGAGCACAGGGCGTAAAGTCATTTAAATGGTCGTGAAGATAGATTCTGTGTGTCACGCTCCTGCTTCCGAGCCTCGAAGCCAGGCGCGCCAGGCCCGGCAGCATGTCGACGACACGAGCAGCAGGCAGAAGCACCGATTGGAAAACTCGTGGATCGATCACTTGATAGGAAAGATTTCGTATGGTGGAACGGGATATTCACGCGCGTGGAATCGAAGCATGCAGGTCCCAGCCCTGGTTATGACGGTGGTCGACGTGCCACCATCAAGGCGCCATTACCACAGATCACCGGGACCGCACGTTTGCCTGGCTGTGAAATGCACACTTTGACGTTGTGTCTGGTTGTTTATATTGGAATCCATAGTAATAGTGAATTCAGCACGCTGGACGAAGGCGCGCTAGCATGCTCTCGCTGAGCTAGAGTCGACGATCTGGTGCGATCACAACGCAAGGATTGTACCCCACCGATTCAGAGCGCGCGCGCTCGGAGGGAGTCTCGTATGAAGGGACTCTCGAATGGGACCACCAGCCTGTCTCGACTCGATCTTCGCCAGTTTCATTTCCTTAAATGTGTATTGAGGAAGGTGTCAAGATGTGAAGAGGCTTAATCGGCCACCCCACTGCGTCCACACCCACGTCGCCCCGGTGGGATGGGCTGGACCGGAGCTCTGAGTTTGGTGGCCGCTGCCTTCCTGGGATCCACCACAACTCTGGTGAGTGGAAGATTCAAACGTAGGTTATAGATCTGGATCTTGTATTCTCGCCAGAACGCTTATGCGTGTGCCTGGCCCGAGCAGGTCGCAGTTGTCCTGGTGTGGAGGAAGCGGCCTGGGGTCTCCCAGCAAGGCCCCCCCCCAATCCGCCATGGCCTGCTGGGGCTCATTGGGAACACACCACTGGTTCGAATAGAGAGCCTGTCCCGAGAGACGGGCTGCGAGGTCGGTTTCGGTGGTTTCTTGTAGGAAGTACCGAGTAAAGTTGGCGGGATGGTCCTCTGTCTTGGCTTCGATACTCTGCTGTCCAGATCGTGCAGCACCTCCTCCCCCCCAAGATCCTGGCCAAGGCGGAGTTCCTGAACCCTGGCGGCTCGGTCAAGGACCGGGTGGCCGCCCAGATCCTGGAGGAGGCCCTCGCCAGCGGTGCGCTGCGCCCCGGCGGCACCGTCACGGAGGGCACCGCCGGCTCCACAGGCGTGTCCCTGGCGCTGTGCGCCCGGGCCGCGGGCTGCGGCGCCTTCGTGGCCATGCCAGATGACGCGGCGCGGGAGAAGGCGGACACGCTGCGCACGCTGGGGGCTGAGGTGCGACGGATGCGCCCCGTGTCCATCGCCCACCCCGACCACTTTGTGAATGTGGCGCGGCGCGCCGCTGCGGAGCGGGAGGGGGCGGTGTTTGCGAATCAGTTTGAGAACCTGGCCAACTTCAGGGCACACCTCCGGACCGGTGAGGGGGGGGCCAGGGCTGTGTGGGTTTCATGGTGGACTCTGGCGTGGAGGATGAGCCGGGTTTGCTGCAGCTCCTCGACTGTGCATGGGAAGGAGACAAGCATGGGTGTGCATATACCGCGCTGGATACTGGTGGGGTGCACCCATCTTCGATCTATACCATCTTGGAGCGCTCCTCACCGCCCTTCTCCCACCCATCCTGGGTCTCCCCTGGCTCCACGCAGGGCGTGAGATCCTGGCGCAGACGGACGGAATGCTGGACGCATTTGTCTCTGGCGCGGGGACGGGGGGCACATTAGCAGGGGTGTCGTGTGCGCTCAAGGCCGCCAATTCCAGGGTCAAAGTCTTCCTCATCGACCCGCCCGGCAGCGGACTCTTCAACAAGGTCTGTGCTGGGAGACTGGAAGGCTTTGGATGAGTTGCCTGTGCGGCGGGAATGCCACAGAGGAGGAGGGGCATCATCAAATCCCATCCTCCTGAGGAGTATTTCCCATTTAAGCTTGTGCCCACATTATGTCAAGGCACGTTCCTGGGCACGCCCATCTTCCCCCCGCCCACCTTCCCCACCCATTTCCGTCCTCCTCATTGCCCTCCTACCCGGAAAGAACAGCCCCATACCCCCGCCCCGCTCCCGACAACTCCGCAGGTGACACGGGGCGTGATGTTCACGCGCGAGGAGGCGGAGGGGCGGCGGCTGCGCCACCCCGCCGACACCATCACCGAGGGCATCGGGATCAACCGCCAGACGGCCAACTTTGGCCGCGCCCTCGTAGACGGCGCTTTTCAGGGCTCTGACACGGAAGCCGTGGAGATGGCGGCCTACCTCCTGCGCAACGACGGCCTTTTCGTCGGCTCCTCCGCCGCCATGAACTGCGTGGGCGCGGTCAAGGCCGCGCGCCTGCTGGGCCCGGGAGCAACGATCGTGACCGTGCTGTGCGACGGCGGGGCGCGCCACCTGTCGCGCTTCCACAACGCCGGGTTCCTCGCCGAGCAAGGCCTGGCGCCGGTAGCCACCGGCACGGGGCTGGCCTTCGTCAGCAATGGGCCGTATCGCCCCGCGATCGGTCAAGTCTTGCCCACGCACACTTGACAAGCCGGCCTGCACCGGGATCCAGGGGTCCGGCTGGACCCCTGGTGCGACGCAGACAGTCCTGGCTGTGGTCCAGGCTGGCTGCTGGTGCTGGAAGGGTAATTGGATCGAGCTTCAAACCCACGTACTCTTACCCTTCTGCACATGCACCTGATCTGCACTGTATTCTGTTCACAACTTTGTTACATCCCCTAGAGAGGAAGCGTCATATGCGCGTAGCGCTCATGGCAATTGAGTCGTTCAAGGTGATGTGACAAGGTGCTGCCGTCCTCCCTCCCCCGCGCTCAGTACCCGCGCGATCGCACAATGAACCTGTCGCGCGGAATGTCGGTGCCAGCATCCATTGAGTCGAAGTTCTCCTTCATTTGCCGGACCGCCTCCTGGCGCTGGGTCACGGAGGAGACATGGGGGAACACGCGGACTCGGGGGTGGGTCCACAGGGGCGAGGTCTTCGGCAGAGGCTCCTCGTGGAAGACATCTAAGATCGCGGCGGACAGATGCCCTGAATCCAGGGCTTGAATCAGGTCGACGTCCACCACGTGCCCCCCGCGGGCGACGTTGATGATCGCGGCCCCCGGAGGCAGGGTGGCGAACAGGCGGGCGTCCAGAAGGCCGGCCGTCTCGTCCGTGAGCGGGAGCAGGCAGATGAGAATCTGAGCCTCTCGGGCCAGCTCAAAAAGGCCTTCTCGGTCATGGTAGTAGGATATGCGCGCGTTTTTCTGGTCATTGGCTCGTGCACTTCGCGTCCAGGCGGAGACGGGGTACCCAGCCGCCAGGAGGAGGGTGGCCGTGGCGGCTCCCAGGTTGCCGAGGCCAAGAATGCCGACGCGCACGCTGCTATTGTCCCGAATGGTAAAATTCTCGACACTCTTGTCCCAACGGCAGTCTTTTTGGGCTTCTAAGTATGCGTCACTGCAGGGAGGAATTTGGTTTTGCATCATGAGTGTGGCTGCAAGGCCTTAGCTTGGCAAGCCATAATGGCTTGGATGAAGGGACAACGCAGTCAAGCAGCTGCAGGTCCATGCACATTGCCAGCATCCCCGCTTTGCCCTCAACTACCACCATAGTGTTCTAGAATCTCCTCAAACCCCTCCACCCCAGCCTGACCATTTGCGCTGGACGTTGATGACCGCCCACATGCAGAAGGTGGCCATGCGCTGTGCCATCAGGGGGTCCACCACCCTCACCATGGGCACATGCGTGGGGCAGACCTCGTCCCGCAGCATGCGGTGCGTGATCCCCGCGCCCATGGAGTGGATCAGTCTCAAGTTTGGGCATTGGGCCAGCAGTCCATCGGGAGGGTTGAAGCAAACCACGTAGCGGACCTTTTCCAAGTCTACCCCTAGCTTGGCTTCGACGATGGTAAGGCCCGCATTCTCCAGCTCCCGCCTCCAAGTAGCGAGGAAATCGGGGCCTCCGAAATCTTCAGAGGAGCCGGTTGGGAGGTGGAAGGTGGTTTGGGTGGCGATGCGGACTACAATGCTTATACGTCTGCACGCTAGGGAGAGTTGCCCCGGCTGCTGGGGCGCGGGGCTTACCTGACCACAACAGGACCTCGTAGTCGTTCCCCTCTGACTCTTTGTCAATTGCCATGGTTTTGGACCAGAAATTGATTCAGGTCCTGACGGTTGTCTGCTGTACGCCTTGCCCAAACTTCGGTCGACCACTCGGTATGCACGTTTTCACCGAGGACTGTGATCGCAGTAAGCACTTGGCGATTGTCTACTTGGACGGTCAGGCAAACTGAGGATTCGTGTCGTAATGGCTCCTCACACAGCGATTTTGCAGCAACGCTTACCTTTTGGGAATGCACATTGATCTCCTCCGTGGGGGACGCCCCCACGTGGTTACGTGACCGGCAGGAAAACAAGTCTTCCCGTATTAGGGTTGTCATCAGGCGCACGAGCAAGTTTGCATCTGCAGCGGTCTCGCGCCTGCAAAGTCCAGTCATGCACATAACAAAGCTTAGCGCCGTCAGAGTACAGAAGATATTCCACATCGCACATGGCATGGAGGGACCTGTTTGACATAGTGTACTGGTGCGCGGCATGAGTGGGCAGGTTGGGACTCCCTTGCACAGTCTTCCTACAAGTACATGAACTCCGAGTGACTGACGGCGTTGGCGGCCCCTTTCTGGTCTTCAGCTTCCTGCCGCTCCCTCTCGTACCGAGCATCATCGGTTGGCAGTTCGTGCCTGTCACAGGAACATGGACGGTGGATGAGGTGGCGGGCACTCCGCTGGGTACAGTCATCGCAAGGACACCCCCCAGGACAGTACACTGTACGTGTGAGGGTGGCAGGCACCTCCAGAGCTCTGAAATCAGAATAAACACATCCACGCTGCACGCTGGCTGCTACCTGCAGGTTGGGCAGGAGTTGTGCTCCTTCAGCCATGGCGCCAGGCAGGGGAGATGAAACACGTGGCCACACGGCAAGGCCTGCACCGTGTCTTCCACCTCCAGCTCCTCCCTGGGGATTGCAGAAGGGCAGGGAGCATGAGCATCTGTGCACATGCAGACTGGAGGAAGCTGGTCGCTCACAGGCTTTGCTTCACCGCAGAGGGGGTTCAGAGCGCCAGGAGGGCTAGCCAGAACCCCATAAAACACGTTCATCCTCTCAATGACTCCCTCCCCTGCCCCAGGGCGCTCAACCCCCACAGGGTCCCCCGGTCTCACATGCACACAGGGCAACGGGTGCCGGCGCCGCCCAGCTCGACCAAGCGTGATGGCGTCAGGACCTCCTTGGGCAGGGACTGCACCACAGTTGCGCTGGTAGGGGGCGCGCCGCGCGGCACGTCAGCCATGCTGTCCTCCAGGGCCTGCAAGAGGTCCGCATCCAAGAGGTGTGGCTCCGGGCCCTCCACGGTGGCGCCCAGGGCCCCATTCTGCATCTGCTGCAGGTGCGCCATTAGAGCCTCGAGCGCCGCTGCACTCTGTGGACTTGATTCCGGCCCTGCTGCAGGCTCAGCATGGGACAGCAAGCCCTGGAAGGAAAATGGCGGGGGCGCCGCAGCCAGTGTCGCTGTGCCCGGTTCGTCCTCCAGGTGCGCAGCACAGGACGCCAGGTACCCCCTCAGCTGGGTGGCGAGGTTCCCACTCCTGTCCGACGCGAGCGCGGCGCGGTAAAGAGTCTGTGCCCGCGCCCAGAAAGCGGTGGAGTTGTACCGGCTCTGGAGGAGGGTGTGGACGCGTGCAAGGAGCACTGAATAGGCCGGATCATCGACCACCGATCCGCCCGAGGTGGGCAGTAGATCCTTCAAGCGTTCTACACCCTGCTCGAAGGTCGCTTTCTTCTCCAACAGGGGCTTGATATCACTCGGGACTGCGGGCATGGCGAACCGGCTTTCCTTGCTAGTGATTTGGAGAGGGCGCGATCCGACGTCAAAATAGCTTGACCGTGTACCTCTATCAACTAGCAAAGCTCAAAGTCCTGAGGCGATGCCTGCATTGTATCCCTCGCCGGTCTCTTCTGGACCCCTCATCGCGCCTGCGCCTCGCCGTGTGCTGACTCAGGAAGACGAAGTCCAACATGCGTCGGAAGAAGCATTGTGTAGAGTGTAACTATACCTATGTACGCTGTGTTATGAAGAAATATCCCATCGCCATTCCTCAACCATGTGAAACCAAGGCCAGCCATGACACTGGTCTGTCAGAGGGGCAAGTGATCTTGGAGTGGGCTTCCTGACTATGGCAGCCAACGGCCTGGGCCGCCACGGTCTGATGGACGCCATTGATCAGGCGCTAGACTCCGGTGATACCTCTCATCTTGTGCGCCTGGTGTTTGCCACCGATCCCTCCCGCTTCCTGCCCGCCCCATCTGGCCCCGACACCGACACCGTGACCACCAGCTTGGGAGACGACGATGGCTTCCCGGGGGGGAATGTTCTAGAATCCGTGCTGGAGGCCCTTCAGGAGGTCTCTGAGGACCGGGAGATGGAGATCCAGGACATATGCAGGTGCAGTCTGGCGAGGAGATGGACTCAGGAGTGCCCAGGAGTGTGCCCTGAAACCTCTCTTCCCGGGCCGTACAGTAGATGTTCTTGGTCATGCCTGAAAACCCTTCCCTCTTCCCAACACAGTCGGCATGGCATGGAGATTGCTACAGCGCTTGCCCAGTTGGGCCCCCTCCAGGGCGACCTGAAGGATCTGAAGCGAGCCGTGCAGGCTAACAACAGTCAATACCAGGCCCTCGGATCCCAGTACCTGACCCTGCACGACTCCCTGCTCTCCTGGCAGGGGACCATGGCGCGGCTGGCCTCGCTGCAGTCCCTCACGGACCGGCTGGTGGCTGGCTGGAGCCTGTGCCTGCATGCTGTCCAGGCCGAAGCGGGCGGGAAGCTGTACCGCGCTTACTGCCTCTTGGGCGAGGTCCCCACGGGCTCGGCGACGGCTGCCGAGTCGGCGCTGAGCAGCCAGGCAGCAGCCCTGCGGCAGGGCATCGTCACTGCCGTGCAGTCCAGCATCAACTCCTGGCTGGTGAGGATGCGATGTTCCTTCTGCTGGATTTATTGTCATGTTTTCCTTGTCGCTGGGAGTCAGACAACATGGCACAGAGGCAGCCAGTGCTGTAGCGCCCAGTGTTACATCCAGGGCGCCCGCATGGTCATTGCCGCCCTTTCCTGCCCCGATAGGCCCAGGCGAGGCGCCTGGCTCCTAGGGTCGGTGCTCAGGCCATACACGACGCAGGTGCCCGGCATACACATGCACTGGCGCTCCTGACGGCGCAGCAGGAGGTGGTCTCCCGGTTTCTTCCCCGCGATGCAGCCCTGGACCTTGGGCCGGGGCTGCCCGGCGAGCCTGCGCCCCTCCTTGTACGTCCCGGACAGGAGCTGCTGAACCCCGACATGGTGGAGTTCCCGGAGCTGCCCCAGCCCAGACCTGCCGGGCCAGGCAAGTGGAAGGGATGAGCGCTGAGGGCAGAGGATGTTGGGGTTTGGGAGCTAGGCGCGGTGGCGTATGCATGCCTGTGCGGTGTACCCGAGGGGGCACCTGGAATGGATCTCAACCAGAGTGTGTATGAATGGGGAGCGAGCTTCCTGCACAGTGTTGGTCTGAGCAGTGGGAGCCCGTCGCTCGGGTCCCCTCAACCTTGATTTGGGCTTACCAGCCGAATGCATTCATGGCCCGTCCTCAGGACGGTCTTTGGATGTGCTTGTCCCTGCTGACTGTATAACCCTGGATGCCTGCCTGGTTTGGTCGATGTCATCCACACAAACCACTTCTCTCCACCCCCCTCCCTCCTATTTTGCAGCAGATGCGTGCGTCGCACAATTGGACACGGCGACCCTGTGCCATCTGGCGGCGGTCTACTCCCTCAGAGGCCAGTCCCAGGCCCTTGCCCAGTACTTTTGGGATAACCGGCGGCAGCAGCTGGAGGCCGACATAGCTGCGCTGCAGCCGGGAGCTGGGCCAGATGCCGTCGAGCATGCTGCAGCACTCCTGCATGCGGTGAGTGATCCTGGGGTGCCAAGGGGTTGACCAAGGCGCTGGGGAATACGGGAACGCCGCTGTGAGGCTGGTCCCCAAAACGCTTGCCGCCGCCCAACCCTGAGCAATGTGGCCCCCAGGGCTTCACGCCGCTGCCCTGCACCATGCCCCTGGCCCACTCATGTAATGCTCTCCCAACAACTCAAGCCTGAGCATTGTCTGGTGGGAGAATGAGAACTCAAACCCCTCACACCCTCCCTTTCCGCAGACAATGGGGCATCTGCTGATCGACGCGGCCGCAGCACGCGCGTGCTCCGAGCTCCGGCCCGGCAAGGGGCAAGACAGTGGGCGCCAGCTGGCGCAGAACATGCTGTCCTCCTTGGCGGGGGTGCTGTGCCACGACCCTGGGGTGGGGATCACAGAGCTGGAGGCGCTGCGGGACCTGCTGTGCCTGGCTCGTGGCGCACTGGGTGAGCAAGTGGGTTCGGGAGTCCTGCGCTTCTGCAAGCTGGATCCCTGCCTGATGCCGTTGCCGGTGCCGCGTGGGCCGGGCAGGCCTGGCACCTGGCGCATCATGGCGCTGCATCGCTTGAGCACCGACGCGGGGTGACCCAGATGCTCCCCACTCCGGTGTCCACCCCTCCACGCAGGCCCCGAGGGCAGGGGCGTGGTGGAGCCGGTCCTTGCCTCCCTCCTGTCCTCCCTGGGCGAGCGCATCGTGGCCGCGGCCGGCGCGGAGGTCCGGGCCTCCATGGTCGGCCCCGCCGCGGGGTCGGCGTTCCAGCTCAGCGAGCCGGCGGACGCGGTGGGGCTGAAAGCCCTGGGCCTGCCACTGTCCTTCCGCCCCGACGGGGCCGGGGATGGCCCGCGATCCCTACCCCGGCCCACGCCCTTCTCAGCGGCGGTGCCGGCACAGGCCGCCACGTGCCGCGCCGCGGCGGCGCGCTGGGCGCGCGCTGCGCGGGACGTGCTGGCGCCGGAGGAGGTGAGCTTGGCTGCTCGGGCCTGGACGGCGGCGCTGACGCGCGAGGCGCTGCTGCACGCCTGGGAAGAGCACCTGGTTGGTGTGCTAGGCCAAGGGGCCCCCGGCATCAGCATGGCGGCCGCCGCGCAGCTCGTCGCCAGCCTGGCGGCGCTCGAGGTCGGGGCGGGGGGGTGGGAGGCGCTGGCCGATCTCCTGGCAAGGTGGGGGGTGCATTGTGTATTCTTGTGGGGAAAATGGACTGGAAGCCATGTGGCTGTTTGGGGATTGGTGATCGCGTGGCAAACACCCGCTGGGCTCATTTGGGCCCAGGGGCATAGTCTGAGTGGGGCCCAGCGCGGTGTAGGTTTCGCAGCACTGCCGAGCACCCCACAGCGACGCACCGAGACCCACACACTGACAATCGCCCCGCTTACAGACCTCTGGCTGCGATCGCGATTTTGCCACAGCACGGCGATGGCACAGCGACCCCAGTTGCGCCAGGCACGCAGCCCGGCGGCCTCTGGTCTGGCGTGCTGGAAGCCGCGGAGCGGTGCCTGGCCGAGGCACTGGAAAGGGGGGCCGGGCCCGCCCTGGCCGGAGCGGCGGCCCTGGACTGGGCCCCTGCGAAGCCCCAGGGCTCCAAGGGCCAGCACAGCGAGTTCATGCTGGACCTCATCGCGCAGTTCAAGGCAAGGCCTGGACTGGCTTGTGTGAGGGGGGAGGGGAAGTTGGAGGAGAGGCGGCGGGTGGGTAAGTCAGTGAGCGTCGGACCTGCCCCGGCTCCGCCACGCAGTGCCCGTGTTCGAGTTGGATAGCCCAGCTGCTCTGCCGGGGGTCAGTGTTGTGGAACCTTGTCCATTGTGCGGAGAGGTAGGTGGTCTTCCCACCCCTCCTCACCACACTCCATCTGTACTCTTCTCCCAGCCCTGCCGCCCCTTCCTGTACAACCGATCAGGAGGCGCACAGTCTGGCGCTGCGCACGCTGCCCGAGTCGATCGCGGGGCGGGTGCTGGCAGCCTACCTGGGCATGGTCTCGGAGTCCCTGCTGCGCGCGCTGGGCGCCGCCCCGGCCATCAACATGTTTGGCATGCTGCGCCTGCTGTCGGACGTGGGCGGCCTTCGGGCCGTCGTGGAACGGGCGGGGGCCGACCCCGAGCCCCTGGCCCCGGTGTGCCTCTTCGCCGAGGCCCTGGTGTTTGGGCGGCTGGGGCCCCAGGGCGTGCCCGGCATCCAAGCCCCACGCCTGCTGCAGCTGCTGGAGAGGTACCGCGAGGTGCCACGCAGCTCCGGCCTCGCCGGCCAGCACAGCACGCCCAGCGCGGGCAAGGGCAGCCCCGAGGTGCGGTGGGGAGTCTGTGGGGTGTGGGAAGGGAAGGTGGAGGGAGGGCCTGTGTGTGCATGCTGGACAGCTCCCTGGCCGGCGGCAGGAGCACTGGTCCGACTGCCAGATGCTGCGCCCCCCCCCTGAGTTTCCATGCATGTGTTCCCCACGACATTGCCTGGACCCCGCCGCGCACATCCCCCTGCAGCGATTCCTGAGCAAGAAGTCTGTGGAGGACGTGATGAAGGCACTGAGGAGCCCGACCAAGCGCGCCAAGTAGCCTGCTTCCACGGGTGCATCCTGTCCTTCTACTTGTGTCACATCACAACGAATATCAACGGGTGCTTGTGGCGGGAAAGAAGCGAGGCAGGTCAGTGCTGCATCCGCACTCCCCTGTCTGCTTCCTCCCTCCACCCTATTTCTTCTTAGACTTGGACTTTGCGAGCTTCCGCGCCTTCTCCTTCTTGGGCAGCTTCTTCTTCCGCCGCTCCTGGTTGCTCTCCTTCACCGCCTTCTTGTGCTCCCGCCGTGCCGCCCGGATCTCCTCCTTGGACTGCGCCGGCTTGCCGTCCGTCCACCCCGCCCCGGCGCCGGCCTCGTCTCCGCTCTCGGCATCGCTGCCGCTGCTGTCGCCACTGCCGCCGCTGCTGCTGCTGCTGCTCCCGGCCTCGCTGCCGGACGCAGCGTCATGCCTTTCTCCCACTTTCTCCTCCGCGATCTCCAGCGCGAGCGGCAGCGTGCGCGCGCCGCTCATGTCAGCCTTCATCCCGGCCAGGGCCTGGTAGTAGATGCCCTCCACAGGTTCGCCGGCCTGCAGGCGCGCGTGGTCGCGCTCGTGGTTGGCCACCTCGTCCAGCTTCTTTGGGATGAAGGCCTGGGCCCACACCGCGTCCGCCACTGAGCTGTCTGGCGCGGAGCTCGTGTCGATCGGCCGGCTGCGGGGGTGGGGCAGTTTCGGATGAGGGAGTGGGTGTGATGGGTGTGTTTTGCAGGGAATTGAATGGCGCCCAGGTGGGTGGATGCACGTGAAACGGCCACAGAGTCAGCAGGGAGCGACAGAGATTTAGATGAAGAGACGTCTCGAGACAACCAGCAATCGGGTGTGCAAGAGCGAGACCACCTGAGCACATGCTGCTGACGGCGAGTGGCTCCGGGACCCCCCATCCTGAATCACACGAGTCTGTCAGGATTAGCCCTGCCTGAGACTCCTACATGCCAGTCTGGCTCACCCGGCAGCCAGCTGCATCAGGGCGTCCATGGTATCGTCCAGGTTGTCGTCGGTCACTGCGGGGTCCACGGCAAAGTCAAACAGCTCCTTCACCGTCAGCGTGGCCACACCCTGGCGTCGAAAGTAGTCGTTCACATGCAGACAGTCTGCAAGAGGTTGGGGGAGGTGAGTGGGAAGGGGGGGAACAGCTGGGCGCTGTCTGAGGCGACCGCGGGGGAAGGTGTGGCTTGGACGCTGGGGCTCGCAGCGCTACAGCCCCTGCCTTCCTTTTCCCACTGCCCAGTTCACAGACCCCCCCCCTACTCTCCATCCCCCAGACAAGCCCACAGAACACCCACACCTTCTCGCAGGAAGTCAAAGGCGCGGGGGTGGTCCGGCTCCACGCTCTGGCTGACGTCGATGATCCAGAGCTCGTTCTGGTGCACCAGCACGTTGTACTCGGAGAGGTCGGCGTGCACCAGCCGGCACTTCTGGTACATGGTGCGGATGAGCAGCACCATCTCGCCGTACGCCTGGCGCATGCGCGCCGGGGGCAGCCCCGCATCGCGCAGGCGCGGCGCCGCCACGCCGCCCGAGCCCAGGAACTGCATGGCTAGGACGTGCATGCGCAGCTGCAGGGGCTGCGGCGCCCGCACACCGGCGGCGTGCAGGCGCGCCAGGTTGCGCAGCTCCTTCTCCGCCCACATCTTGACCATCTTGCGCGGATTGGACTTGCAGTAGCGCTGGAAGCGGGAGTCGCCCACCACGTACCTGGGAGGGGTGTTGGTTGGGTTTTTCATCTTGGGGTTGGGGTTGTTGTTCATCTGGGGGGTTTGGGAAGGGGTGCTCTCGCAGCCTTCTGCTCCCACTCCCCTCCTGCGTCCCACTCAACCCACCTGGCCATCCCCCTTCCTGTCCTTCCAAAGCCCTTCCCCCCACCTGTCGCGGTCCTTGAACACCAAAATCGAGGTCTTGTACACCTTGATGGCCAGCTCCTCGCCCGCGGGGTTGGTGGCGTGGTACACGTTAGCCTCCTTGCCCGTGGACACCACGCCGTTGATCTCCGCAAACACGCCGCGGTTGAGCATCTTGAACAGCACCATGCGCGTACGCGGGTCCAGCACCTGCTCCACCGTCGCGCGGTCGGCGCGGTCCTTGGAGCCGCGCGCAGCGCCACAGGGGCCCCCGCCCTTGGAGGCGCGCACGCGCGCGGCGGCGTCCCCCGCCAGGCCGCGCGCCGCCAGCCCCGCCGCGTCCACCGCGCCGGCGGAGAAGCGCGCGCCGAGGTGCTGCGAGTTGCCCGGGGTCGGGGCCGGCTGCGCCCGCGCCGCACGGTGCAGCGCGCCGCCGTGCGCGTTGGGGCGGTGCAGCGCCGAGGCCAGGGCCGCGCCGCTGGCGGCGCCGGCACCCGCGTGGCCCCGCGCCAGGTGGTCTGGTGGTTTGCGTGGGAGGGGGGGGGGGAGTG